GACTGCGCCCACGGTTTCGGGATACTCCAGCAGCGCATGCCGGTTCTCTAGATGGAAAAGCAAAAACAAAATAAAATAAAAAAATCTACAGGGATGCGGTGGGAGGGCGCGAAAAGAACGATCTCGATAGAATCAAAAACGAGAAACAACCGAAGCAAACACTTAGATTATCAGTTTGTGTAAAAATACAGAAAAAACATGAGAGCAAGAGATGGACATCAGCGTTGCAGCAAACTAAATGCGATCATATCCGTTTGCCCTTTCAGAGTTTATATATAAAACAAATAAATTACAATAATTGTTTCCCTCCGCAAATTTTCCCCCTCAAAATCCACATTACCCCAAACAGAAAACAATTCCCCTCTGACACCCTGTTCCCATGAGCCGCGCTCGTGGGAAAGCCCGCAGCCCATCACGCGTGTCGTTGGGGAGTTCGTTTGCCGTTTGGGAATTGCGATGAGGATGTCCGTTCCTTTTCTTTTTTTCCTTTTTAAACCTTCGGACGTTGCAGCATTTACCCTCCGGCACCTTCCATTATCAGGGATATCCGGTGAGATTTTCCATTCGCGCACAACGCCATGCTGGATCAAGATCTCGCGAACGCGAAATGCTGTAATTGGGCACCCCTTTGGGTGAGGAACAACGCCCCTGTCACCGTTCATCTCGCAAAATTTCCGCAGCAATGGGAGCAAGATTCATTTCTAAACAGTTACCCCTCACCGCAAACAAAGGGTGTAACCCAAGGGGGTGGGCACAGAGGGCAGCGCAATCATTTGGGTGAGACCCCAAGTGTGTAACGGATGCGTCTGCGCAAATGAATTCTCCCTTTTTTTTTGTTTTATTTTATCGGAAACAAATGGGCGCCAGAGACCCCCACTTTAAAATTTGAACTTGGACACGGCGCCTTCTTCAAGTAGGGAAAGAACGGGATGAGGTGCGACACAATATTGATAGAGATCTGTTTGGACTGTTTGAATGGAGTCATTTTCTTTTTTTTTCCTGTGCGCGGACCGTCGTGTGAAATGCATTTCCAATAATGTGGGAATACTTCTCACTCTGTGCAAAGTTATAACTTGAACAAGGCAGTGCCTGACAGAGAGTGTGGGTACGCATACGTGGTCAAAAGTATACCGTCATATTCAAGAAAATTCTAATGATTTACTCGCACATTAAAATCCATATCAATGACGATGAGTGTGGATCACTAGAAAGGGTATCCAAACCAATATTCTCCAACCATCCTCCATTTGTGCGAATGACCAATAGCAATAATAATAATAAAACGAGCTCTGCATCAGCAGAAACCATAAGAAGAAATAACCATAAAAATAATATTGGTCACAAACTATTTTCGTAATGTTACAGTATTATTTCTTTCATTTTCCCTCTTAATCCTGTACCAAATATCTTCCTTTGTTGTTGTTTGTGTTGTTTTTCTGTATTATTAATGATTGGAATTCGCATGCAGAAACACACTGAGAATTCTTTGCAATATGAGGTGTGTCCACTCACTTTATTTCACTTCCCTCTTCGCCCCAGCACCGTAGCGCAGACTCCTATTAAGTGTTTTCCGCAACGCTGGTAAATTAACGTGGACAATTCACAATTTCATCATCCCTAGGAAAAATATATACAGTTGGGAGTAAATAACCACACATAATCCTGGAGAATGCTGCAGCGTCGTAGAAAGCGAATGGCAATTTCACCAGGCCCCATGCAAACACTAGAATTGCAATACCTTTTCTGCGACACCTTGTAGGTGAGAGAAAAAAGAATAGAGAAACGAAAAAAAAAAAAAAGAATAAAGGCAACAACAAACAAAACGCTCTTAGAGCAAGAAATAATGGCAACATTTGTAAGAAAGTAAAAAAAAATACGAGAAAAATAACATATTTTATCAATTAAATTCATTTTCCATTTTTTCTTCCACAGTCTCCCCATTTAAAAATATTGCTGAAAAGTCCTTGCATTGATTGACCAAATAAGCATAAAAATAAAAGTAAAAAAAGAAATATATATTCACTATATTTCCCTTACGGAAGGGAAAATGGGATATTTTTTGACGATGGCGCCCATCTCAACGTACCTAGAAAGGTTTTCCCCATATCATTATGAAAAAATAATGAAACAGAGGGTGTGCACTCAACCACACACCTTTTTTTTTCTTTGGTACGTTCTACAATGCCCATATTTTCCGTTCGCCCATACATCAATTAAAAGATAAAAATACATATATGCCTTCTTTTCCTATTTACGGTTATATATTTATTTCATTTATTTTTCCTGTTCATTTGCACTTCAAAAAAGAAGCAGCGGCAATACGGTGTGAAGAGTAACTGCCAAAACCATTACTTTAATAACGTGTGATCCTGCTGTATGCCACGCTGCATCCCCATCCGATTCATGTACAGTATCCATCTCGTAGAAAGAGACTTTGGCCGAGAGTGGTGAGTTTATATTAGAGGAGAAGAGGGCAACTCCAGTATAGTTATTGGGAACGTAAACACGACCCGTCAGCGACTCCAGGCCACCATCCTTGAAGACCTGAACGATGGTGTCATCCACAAATACTCGCAGCTGTACCCTTGTGCCATTTCCAACGAGAGGAGCTCGGCCGGTCCAGGTTTCGTTGAATCCAGTCGTGCCGGATTTGCTTCGGTCCAGAAGCAGAATAGGTTCCCACACACGACCTGTCGTGGCAGAGTTATTAGCGGCAACAACGTCACCATAGGTACTCATAAGTGTACAGCTCCACCTCGACGGGTCTTCTGTTGCATTTACCACCGTCCATGCGACACAACGACGATCTGATTGGCACTGTACAGCGCAAGTCGCTTGTTTTGAAACCACGTACACGGCCAACACCCTTCCTTTTTGGTCAAAACCCGCACCCATATTTGCAGTCGGAGGCATCGTCACAGCGAATCGAGTATATGTGTTGCTATCCTTGTAGCGTACGAGAACACCAAAGGATGGAACGGTGTCTGTGTTCCCCGCTGGTTTGTTGGTGAATCCCTCAGGTATTTCAAAATCCACCACCATTTCATAGTGCAGCGGGGCGTTGGCGTTATACACTTTTACCTCATTCACCCCGATTTCAACATCACTCGTTGTATTAGAGAGACGCAACTTGGCGAGCTCCGGCAGGGGGTAGGTTTTTAACTTTTGGGCAGTAGCATCGTACTCGACGTTACGAGGCATGTCCATTGCACCAGACCACCCACGAGTCTTCATTGCTGCTTCCGTGTCCTCTTCAGGGATCCAACCCCACATTACAGTGAGACCTTGAATGATATCATAATGGTGCTTGGATGCATACCATCTGCCGTAGTCGATGAATGTCCGGCTGTGATATTCGTCCTCTTCAAAGACCGTATCACCTGCACTATTCTCCCAGTAGTTACCATACACCCAGTAGTCTTGACCACTGGCCATTGTTGACAACTTCAAATAGTATTCGCCTTCTATTGCGAAAAAGTCTGGATGTTCAAGCCTGTCGCTCAGATCCAAGGCATCATACCAAAGGTCATGTGAGTGTTGGAAGTCTGAAGTAAAGTTGGGATCACCGGTACTGAAAAGAACAACCTTCGATACAGGTGTATCATAGTCATCATAAGCATTGGCTGCAAAACCAACCAGCCACTCTGATGAGTAATCAGGGTTCTCCCAGAAGTTCGTGGGGTCACGAAAGTAGTTCGGTCCAACAAGGCCAGGCACATCATCCCCTGTCACCACGGGATTTGTGGGAAGCTTAACAAACGAGTTGAGCGAACGTTGGCCACCAGATTGAACATCTTCTTCGGGTGGTAAAGCAATGCATTGTTGCTGCACGTCACCATCTGCAGCACATGTATACATCAGCACGGGTATCCCATCATGTTGCGTGATGGATCCACTGTACGCACCTCTGCGATCGTATTCATTATCGTTCTTTAGTGCAATGCCTTGATCCTGCCACTTCAAATAATCCGTCGAGGTGAAGTGGTACCAACTTGGATTACCCTCCACCGAGTCGTACGGGTTGTACTGCATGTACAGGTGCATCTGCTCTGTGTCGAGGTCATAGAAAAGCCCGCTGGGGCCGCCGACCCAATTGGTGGGGGGACGCACGTGGAAGCGCGGCTCATGCGACGCGGTAACCGCAATCGCCAGCAGCAACAGCATCACGCACCATGTAGATGATATAATGCGCATTGCTCTTTTTAAGGAAATTATTGTCTGGTTTGTCGTTCTCTCAGCTAGTCTACCACAAAGTAAACAAAAAAAAAGATCCAATCAAGCAGGATAGAAAAGAGAAAGAAAATAACAACAACAACAAAACACACACACACACACACTAATAGAGATGACTGCCAAATATTCAAACTCATTCATTGCGTGTGAATTCATGCCCCAGAGGGTTATTATTATTGTCCCATTGTCTTCCCTGATTTATTCCCTTTTTTTCCTTTCCAAGATGTATCTTTCACTTTTTCCTTCACTGTTTAGTTAACATTTCTCTGGTGTCATCCAAGACACTGTGTACCATTTTGTTGCTACTGTTGTCTTTTTTTCTCTTAATTAAGTCAAATATGGTTGTGGAATTTAACATTTTAACTTTAATTTTAGAATTGCCCATAAATGTCATTAACCATTTTGGATTTAAAAATAAAATAAAAGGAAATGTGTCCCATACGCATAAAATAATTATTATTTTGTTTTGTTTCTTTTATTTTGTTTCGTTGAAATTCAAATTTTATGAAATATATATACATATAGTGCAATAAGGACACCCACGTCACTATCACGAGAGTCCCAGACGACAAACACCGTCCACTGGGTTATCACAGAAACGCCCATAAGAGAATGAAATCTGCACGTCAGAAGAGTCCAGCATTCGTAACATCCAAATCCAATTCCCATGATAAAACAAAGGATTTCACACTGCCGTTATTTATTATTTTTTTTTTTTAAGAATCACCATTGCAACCATGTATTGTTAATTGTACACTTTAGTGTGCAAAAGCAAGTGATACACAAATATCAAAAATGGCGGAAACCGTTACCGTCCTTTGTTTCCATATGCATGGTATGGGGTTGGCGACTGACTCCAATGGTGACTTTAATCTTTACAGTTCCTGAGAAATAATACACTCCCCCTTCCATACATACCTATCAATGAGGTGCATGTAATGAGTATGGCAGAGAACATCAACCTCTTCCTTGATGATAATGTGTTTATTATGACGGAGAAGTGTACGCAACAATCTACACCCCTACTCAAGAATGGTAGAAGGAAAAATTGTCAAGGAATCGTTCCAAGTAAATTAAATAAAAAAAAGTGGTAAATGGCGAAATGAACCACAACTACCATTGCTGCATGTAGAGATCGGCATTCCATCCATTTCCCACTCTAAAACAGTTCCATCTTTCACTGGATGTGTGTCTTGTATAATTTACAGTTACATCTGCTGCTCCGTGCAGTCAAGTGAGAATTGTGATGGAAATGGACTCCCAAGAAAATGTAATGGGTGGATCCAGAGACAAACTCAACCATCATCGCATTACAATCCTTTTTACCCAAATTTCTCCCCTTTCACACTCCCAAACAAATAACCTCATTTTTATTACCCAATAATACAGATATTATCCATCCACACTTCCAAACACAAAACCAATGGTTTTGAAACCATCCCATTCAGGTTTAACAACTGCAGACACTCCCACAATGGCTAAAGCCACGGCTCTGCATAATGTATCATCTCACCTTGTGTCTCTCAGGTGCCATTAGGTGAATTCCACAATAGAATTAACCACAACCCAGCATCACATGACCCACTAAGCATCGGGAGAGAGTATACCACTTGGAAAAAGGGAAACTCACTGATATAAGCAAATGCCACTTTTGTTGGAATTCCTGGGATACATTAGCATAATCCCTCTTGAAAAGATAACACTGAGTGACAAGTACACCGTACCCACACACACACAATAAATATGTGTATCATGAGAACTTCTCTTTCCGTGAGTTTTTTGTGTTCTATTGTGAAAGTCATTGAGTTCCTCTATTCTTTCTCCATTTTATTCTTTATGCTGTTTCCCCAATCCATGATCATCATTAACCAAAATGTGGAGCTGTGATAAATGCTTTCGTTGGAATAGAGAGGTGCACGACTTGCATAAAATAAAAATAAAAAAGGCTTTCCCAGATCGATGATTAAAGAATATTCATACAAGAAAATTGCGCAAAAATCTGGGTTTCGAAGGGAAGTGCAATGTCTCATTTTTCCCCCCTTCAATCACAGAAAGGCCTATAACTTTGAGGCATTTTTCATATACTTTCAATTTTTCTGCAACCTACATGGTTTGGTGCACATGTGCATTTAGGGATGGTGTTACCTTCAAATATTTCTTTCATACTGTTATGCCTGTAGGCGCAAATCATTTGAGAGATTATATACTTTGTCCCGTTCTTTCCGTATATTCTTAACGGTAATTAGTCACAGAGTGTCTTCGCGGTGTATACATGTAGACCTGTCTTGACAAGACGACAATATCATCTGCCTCAAAGAGAAAGAAAACAAAAAAAATTTGTTCACCAATTTTGGTAGCTGTGATACGGAATAAATACCATATGAAAGCTAATGGGTTATAGGAAATTACATCGAGAGTAGAAAAACGGCATTACATAATCACTATTATCCTTTTAGAGGAAAAGGGTGAGAGAAAAATATCCTGTAAAAAAGCAAACAATACAAGAATAATAAAAGAAAAGAACATCAAAACCAGGAAAGCATTATAGCAACAGTAAATATTTCAAGGTCACCTTACATAAAAGAGGAAATACTTGCAGAACTACGTTTATGTCCACACCAGTGAACATCAATCGTTTTGTATAAAACATATCAGTTGCAACTCTTTTATGGTTTCAGAAGACAATAAAAAGTCAAAACCCAACAATTCTTCAGGTGTGGATTTCCAATGTAACTGTTATTCAACAACAGGAAAAGGAAACAAAACAGAAAAAAAAAGATCAGACTTGATTTTCATCAACTCCCATGTATGTTTTTTTTTTTTTTTGTGAAAGATTGAGAAGCGATGAAAACATACCACCGAATCTCCTCTCACACAATGTGTCTCAGATGCCCAAACTCACTTTTTTTTTCTTATATATAATATCCTTCAAGAACTATAATAACGTAAAATACAGGACTCCATTTTTTTTTTTAAGCAGTTTCACCACGCTTTAGTTTTCGAAGAAAGCCACGGTGATGTTGAGAATATAGAAGGTATTCAAACCTTCTATCTATTACAAACTCCTTGTTCTTGGCGAGGAACTCATCAATTGAACGCATCGGTCCATAACGATAATTACCATGTCGGGCACCAGCGGCGGTAACAAAACGATCCATTTTTGTGTCTTGAACCAAAAGATAAGACCCTGGTGTAACGTATTTATGAATAGCCTGAATATTTTGAAGTGTGTCTGGATAACGGTGTGAAGCATCTTCAATAACAACAACTGTAGAGGCGTTCGCAGCAAAACGATCTACCATAGACTGTACTTCAGGTGTAGTTATTCTTCCATTAATGAAGTGAATCATCCCGTCATTCCACCATGGGTGTTCAGTTCCCAAAATACATCCCATACATCTTGCAGTTACCTGTGATTTTACCCAATTACTAACCGGTTTAACATCAAGGGTAACTATCTTCCCCTGAGGGTTGTAGGCTTTCATAACTGTCGCGTAAAATATAGCGCTACCTCCCGTATTTGTTCCAATTTCAATAATTAAATCTGGTTTTACACGCCACAGCATATCTTGAATTACAATTGCATCACTGGGGTCTTGTTGCATCTGTACTCCGAACCAACTCAAGGTTGAAAAAATACGATTTTCCTCAAACCATAGGTCATAAGCAAAGGCCACTTCATCCATAGTTAAAACACGCCCAGGTGCAATACGAACCTTCCATGATCCCTTGGGAACAGGACTTCTCGCATATCGTTTCGGGTGCTTGAAAAGTTCTTCATCTTCGTCTGGATTATAGAAAGTATTAAGTGTTCGTACAGGGACCCGCTCCAGAACGCCTATCCACCCGTCCTCACCTCTATACTTATCAGAGGTCTGGCCCCTAACAGAACCCACCTGAGAAGCAGAGGTTGTAATCATAGATGATGACACATCCTTCGCCTCTTCAGAATCAGCAACAGAAGCTTGATAACCTTTCTGTAGGTAGAGTGCCCGTAGAAGCACAACGTTTAACACAAGTGATATAGCAAGTGCAGTCTGTAAACGCCTTACTTTTGTAGAGAATCCTCGTTTCATCATTTTGTTATTCCTTTTCTTCTTTTTGGTACTAGTAATTGCTTCAGTAGTAGTTAAATAGGGGTACAAAACATAAATTTTCTTTTAAGGGCGTAGGGGAGGTTTAAAATCAAGAAATTACTAATATCACCCCAATCAATACAGAGTCTATTTGTATCTGAACAGTTGCACATTACGGGAAAAATATGTCTTTTGAATTAGCCTGTATGTCAGAACAAATTAAGAAAAAACAAATAAAAAGAAACTAATACTGTCGGTCGAAAAAATACAACCTACCAAAACTTACAGATTTGCAGATTCCACAATCCCCACACGTCTGGTCTCTCCACGTGGTGGAAGAATAAAAGTAAAAAAAAAAAAAAAAAAAAAATTCCACATTCCAATCCTCCCATAATATTTCCTCACTGAGTCTCATTACTAAAAAACACAGATACACTCACACTCACATCACTTACCTGGTCGTCAAAAAATTAAATACAACATGAGCAAACATTGGAAATCTGTCTTCAAGGATAAAATCCATCCTGATTATCTTTACATTATTTGTCCCATTTTCAAATCCGAAAGAGTAAAGAACCCTAAAGGCAAAGCTAGAGTCTAATAGAAAGAGTACGGACCCGAGATATTCATTCATGGCCCCTTATTCAGTCTACAGTGTCTGGTGTCAAACCTTTTCCAGAGAAGAATTGTTACCGCTTCCTCACAGCTAAAAATGATAATACTCATTCCTTAAAGTCTACTGTACTTACCATCTATATCAATCAAAGTGTGATACCAACCAACCCCACTAACTAAATAATAAAAAAAAAAACATGGTAATTTTTTTTTTTTTTTCGCGCCTGAAATTACTTAAACAGAGAGAGAAAGAGACAAAAAAAAATTGATCAGAGCAAGTTATACTGAAAACAAAAGAATAAAGGTATATGATGTGTAGTTATATCTGATGTACATGCTTTTAAGAAAAAGATTCCACACATTCAAAGAAAGTATGCAACTACAACAAGAAAAGGGAAGGAAGAAAGGAAGAAAAACAGAAGAAAAAATGAGCTTTACATACATAGGCTATAATCCCCCACCTGTTACATTCACAGAGAAAAGGGTGGAAAAAAAGGGTATTCTCTACTTTCCAGAGAGAAAAAAAAACCCTATTGTAACTACCGATCCCTTTTATGCTCAGTCGCATCATTTTCGTCTGCCGCATTTTCCTCTGTCTCCTTGACAAGCGGCCATGTACCGCTTGGTCTCAAACCAGTGAGTGCACCGCAAAACGTAACGACAGCAGGGATAGTAGGACGACCCACACTGTCAATCGGTAGAGCCTCCAATTTGTCTAATAGAGTGAGATCATCCACAGCCCTGCCGAAAACGACTTGTTTAAAGTCCAGATAAGGCGATGGTCCGAGTGTGATACCAAAGACGGATTTGATTGTGTGGGGTCCCTCAGAAATCATAGTAAGCAGACCTCGCTCTGTGTGGCGTTGACGATAACCCTCATCCCGAACAGGCGCACCTGTGGAGGAGAGATTAAATGAGTCCAACCCACCAAGCACGACGAGTTTTCTGTTGTGATCCACACGCTGCACAGGCGTACCCAAGTAATCCAATTTAATACCAAGCACAGGGTCCATGCCGCATGAACCTGTAATCAAGGCTCTGAAGTTTCGCACCGTGTTGGGCACAGCATCCTCGAATAGCTCCAGTATCAGCCGTCCAGCAATAACATCGCCAATTGACACATCTAAGAAGGCGCGAGAAGATTGCTGCTCTTCAGTAGATCGATGACTTCTCTGATAATTCTCCCATTCCTTCAACCGACGCTCCTCAACATCTTGATAGCGTTTATTTGATGCCCAAAACTCTTCTTCTGTATCAATGCGCAAATTGGCAGCTTCATCCCTTTCCCTTCTCGAATGTCTTCCTGTTATCTCTGTTCTTTTACACTGCATTAGGCTTTTTTTTTTTTTTAATGAAGTTAAAAGCAAAAATAAAATAAATAAATACATAAAATAAAAAGAAATAAGAAAAGGGATGGTGAAAATAAAGATGTACAGAAACATAGATAGAGTAAAAACGAAAAAAAAAAAACGTTGGGATTTATTCATTCCTCATCCAAGCAAGCATAAAATATAACTCAATATATATATATATATATATATATATATATATATATATAATAGACCCTTTTCGAGAAAGTAACTAAACTTCGATAACTTCCTATGAGAAAAAGATAACATCACTTATCGCCTAAAGATTGCAACCAGGCAGAGTATGACTCATTTATGTGCTGTTTTGCACCATAAGAAGCTTTAAATTTCCGATCAAATTCTAAAAATTTGCGTCTTGTTATCTGTCCATATCCTGGAAGACCTTTAGTTTGTTTGGCCAACTGTTCACGTCTTACATATTTTGCAGTTTCTTCTGAAAATCTATCATTCATCCAGTTATCTTCCATGTGTCGTTTGCGCAGATGAGCATATGGATCGGACCTTAGTGATGGGGCAATAAGTGCATTTTCCAGCAATTTTATCACTTCATAGGAAATGTATTTGGCCGCACAGGTATCTGTTGGCTTGTATCGACGATACCAAGGAGTTCGTTGGAACTCCTCCACAGTTGACCATGTGTTTAATGACGAACGAGAACCCATCTCTTTTCGCTCAAATATCTGTTCCATCTCTCGCTGTATTTCGGTGTCACTCCAACCATTCTTCTTTAGAATATCTCTAACTACATCTTCCATTCGATCTGTGAGCTTGTAAGAACAACGCCAATCATCCTCTTTGGCAACGGGACGTGGGTTACCCGTGAGAACTGGAATATCACGCATTTTGTGGCCAAACCCAAGCTCCTTCCCAAACCTTGAAGAGCTGTCAAAGCACCTGCAGTAGACCACAAAAGCAGTTGCTGTTCTAAAACATCTCATCAAATTTAAAGTAAATTGTGATTATTATACTTTCCTTTTCTTTTGTAATATATATATATATATATATTGTATGTGTGTGTGTGTGTGTGTGTGTTTTTTTCGCCTTTCCTTTTTTTATTCTCTCAGCCTTGATGAGTGCAGTAACAGTGAAACAAAGCGAAGGCTGAGGACCCGCGATCATCTTCATCAAATCATCAGTACAAACTTTTCACAAACACTCTACAAGATCTTAACTAATAGTCATCGAGAGAAGATTGTTTTCCCCACCAAATAATTGACCCAGAAAGTGGCACTAAACTTGTAAATCCCACCAGTGCCACTCCAGGTACTGCCCGTTCGCGACTCTGCAAACCCGTAAACTTAGATCTGCAAAGAACGAGAGCGGCAACGGCAGAGCCAAAGTACACAATCCATCCGATAAAAAGAACCGCTTTAGCCCTTGGAACGCCGTTCTTTACCTCAACGGGAGAAGTAAAGATCATGAGAATAAAACCAACAATGGAAAAAAACGCGGGAGTAAGCATCATAAAAGTTATATGGTTTGCTGAGTCCGCTTCCTTCTGTGCCACTATGATGCCATCAACCAACAACATTAACGCTAGACCAAAGATCGATCCAGCCACTGCTGATGGTGCAAAATACGATTGTCCCAGAAACATGATGAATATGACTTGTTCTTCCCTTTAGCAAAAAGAAAGAAAAAAGTGAAAAGATAATTAAGAAAAAAAAAATAAATAATATAACTGAGGATGCTTAGTTAGTAGGAACAGAAAGAAATAGAGATAACCAAGGTGCTCTGGTCTCTCTATCTTTCTCTCTCTCCACACACACACACGCATGTACACCACAGAAAATCATGTTGAAGGGTAACGAAGACGAAGCACATCATACCCCGTTGTTGTTGTTGTTGTTTTTTCTTTTTTTTTCTTCGTTTCTTTTTTCTTTTTCCTTTCTCCTACTTCTTTGTTTAAGGCTTATAGAATCGTTTTCGCGTTGTTGTGTGTGTTTTTTTTTTTTCTTCTTTGGTGTGACGACAAGCAGTCATAGTAACGTAGTCATCTGGTCCAGCATAGACCTTTCCAAACGGTTGCTATAACTTATTCCGCTGATCCTTCCAGTCGAGACATAATTTCATTGTCATAATCTGATGAGGTTGGTGTTTGTGGATCATCACGACAAAGATCGTTAAGTTGCCTTTGAGCTGCTGCAATTTTTTTCTCACGTTGTCTCACCTCTTGTTGGAGTGATGCTTTCCTTTCATTAATTGACTGCAATTCTTGTGCATACTTTTCGCTCGTCTTCTTCAAATCCCTAGTTTCCTGTGTAAGTTCTTTCTTTCCACGAATTAAATTGGCATTTTCTTTCTTTAGTTCTTCAATACGTCGCTTCATTTCTGCGTTCTGTTCTTGAGCTTGTTTGATTATTTCTATTTCACGCTGTCGTTCCAACTGCTCACGTCGTTCTCGTTCTGCCTGTTCTTTGGTGATGCGTTGTTTCTCCGCTTTAAACCGTTCTATCAAGTCATGATAACCTTTACTACCACGTTGTGCAATTTCCTTTCGTATACGTTCTTGATCCTTCATAGCTTTGGCTATATCTTGCTTGATTTTTTTTCGCATTTGTTCCATCTTTTCAGCTTCAATAAGTTGACGTACTGCTTTTTCATCCACTTTTGGACCAATCGGTTTGTCCTTATTTGGTGCATTCTTCACAGGATTAAGCGGTTTAGGGGCTTCCACGAGCACAATACCAACTTCAATCGTAATACTGTCACGATCTTCTTTCCAAAAACCCTTTCGTGGGCTTAGTAATTCCTCAAATTTTATCACAGTATTAAATCCCCAGTCATTTTCCTGCGACCTTGTAGAAAAACGTTGGGTACCTTCGTTACAGATAGAATCATCCACACTCAAGTGGTTCACTACAGTTATCAAAAATTTACAGTATACGCTACCAGTTTGGCACAAGTAAAGTGCCAAAAATTCCTTGTTCGCCATACAGAGGAGACTCCATTTGAGTCGTCCATACTCAAACTCTGGTGAATATCGACGTTCATTATCCTTTGGTAAAATTGAAATATTCTCAACTTGAAAAGTAATAAACCCCATATCTCCTTTGCATCGCATACCAGATGGTGGAACAGTAAAATTAAGTGTCTTCTGTTTTTTGGATCTTGAGTTCTTTGCTCTTATACGTTCACATGGAAAGGCACCGAAAACAATAGATTCACAAAATTTTTCTGTAGAATTAGTATCAGGTACTGTAATAGCTAACTCTGATGTAATCTTTTTAAGAGGTTTTAAACGTAGATTTGTCAAAACTGCCAGAAATCCCATAGCTACCATACGTTCCCACATGGCTTCTACTGAAGGTTTTTCTTCCATAAGACCAAGCATATGTCCCAAATCTTGTTTTAATGGTTCAGGAAGAGATCGCAAAAAATCAATGCTTGCTGCGGCATGTAGAGGTCCAGCCTGCACATGGCTGGTCATTTCTTCAATAATTTTATGTTTATCCATAAGAGCACATGCTTTCTCACATCCAAGTCGTACAGCCGTTTTGACAATCTGAGTTATATAATCCACCTTAGATGAGCAGGGGTTCTGCTTTACTTTAGCACTTTCACTTACTTTTTTCAATGAATCCATAGACAATGGTTTCATAAAAGTTGTTAAATGAGGAACAGCCTCAGCACCAGAAGAACACGGTAATGGAGTGCTGGTTACAGAAACATCCTCCTCCTCATCTTCTGATGAGGATTCTGGTGAGGGAATAGCAGTACGCTGTTCCAGAGCCTTTCGGCTAGGAAATGTGTATGTTGAAGCTCTAACGGTAAGACGTGGAACAGGAAATGGGCCCAATGTGTCTAGAAAATTTCCTTTATCGTCAGGTACCTTCTTTTCATTTAAAAGCATTGCTTCTTCTTCAGCACGTTTTTTTCGTAGTTCCTCTCGTTTGCGCTGTTTTTGTTCCTTCTCCTTAACAGAGGGTTTAATACCACCATCAGATTCACCATCCATATCAATGTCTTCATTCGAGTCAAAAATGTCATCGGTCATAAGAAGTTCATCTTCATCCTTTGTGACATGATAGTCCCGAGGTGCGCTGCGGTCTATATGTGTGTACGGGGCACTCCGGTGAGCTGCAGACATCAAGGAATCTGTCACAACTTTAAACATATCCTCAACAGCAGCACGGTACTCTTTAGACTCGTTATTTTCTTCTGCACGCAATACTTCTTTACGTAACGAGCGCATCATTTCCGCGCCTGGCGTAAGTGATACAGGACAGTCCTGCACCCATTTATATAGGGTGTTTTTGTAGAAGTCCAGTTCATCGCCTTGGAGAATCCCCACCGTACTTTGCGACATTGTATCCTAACGGTAAAAAAATGAAAACAATAAGAAGAACAAGAAAAAAAAAAAAAACAATAATATTATTTCAACAATCAGAAAATATATGGAGAGATAGGGATAGAGATAGAGAGAGAACAACAACAAAAAAAAAAAAGAAACAACTAGTTACAGTAAACACAACATCCAACAATTTTCATTTTTCAAGTTGCGCGGTATCATTCGCACCGCCAATGAACTCATCCGAAGAGCCTGGCAGCACGTCGGCTCCCTTCGGCTGCACATCCCGTGTTTCGTACCACCACATAAAGTTCACCTTTCCATTAAGGTCTGTGTACGGCAAGTAATCAATCTCCTTTCGCTGGAAGGAGCGCAGATGTTTTGTCGTCGCCGCCACCTCCTCCTCGAGACGACGCACGTGTTCTTCCTTTGCAACATCATTCATCTCTCGGAATCTCTCAGCGTATGAGGATGTCTCGGTGGCACTAGAGCCGCGGAGAGCCGAATAGACATCCGTCGCCTCCGTCTTGGCAGCGGCGATTCGCCGCACCTCTTCGTAGCGCTCTCGTGTGATGTAGCAGAGCCACTCACTGCTAACAGAGTCGCGCTCAAATGTGATGAAGCCCTCCTCTCTTGCCTGTTTTAAGACATCTCGAAGATGTTTTTTGCTGTCAAGGACAATAGAAGGATCATTTGTGCAGTATTCCCAGAGACTGCTCACCTCGCAGGGCTGGTGGCGATAAAGAACACTGAGAACAAAGTCACGTGGTATCTTTCCTACATCACGGGGCAAAGATTTTGCCCTAAAACGCATTTCCTCCGTAAATTTAAAGTTATCCGGTATTTTCTGCTCAGGCCAGTTTTTCATTTTGGCCCCATTATAAACATTCCCATGGGGAGTGTGAACACCATACTGCCAGAGGACTCTCAACGTCCTTCTCATCTAAGGAAATGAAGGTGTAGCAAGAACAAAGGAAAACAAACACACAGAAATAAATAAATAAATAAATAAATAAATAAATAAATAAAAACTATAACAAAGAAGATTTGTGATTACTATTTCTTTCAATGAAGAAGTTATTAAAGGAAAGAAAGAAAAACATACTTATACACGTAGAAAAACTAAACTAAACATAAGGAGTACCAATAGAAGCAGCAAATCTGTGATTAAGAATACACATCTTGGAACAGATTCCATTAAAAAAAAAAAAAAAGAACAGATTTTTTTTCGTATATATATCTTTTTTTTTTTTTCATCGTATTAAACTGTTAAGGCCTCTTCAGGAGAAGTCTCTTGTTAAACAACCTTCTCACTATGGCGATGAAAAGGATCAGGAAGCATATACTGGAGAGCTCGCTGTGAAGCTGGGATACATGCAAGAAGGCAAAACACATAGGTTAGACATTTAAGTAGGACGAAGCCTAATTGTCTAACATGAATCTTACCAAAAAATTGTTTAGATTCCTCAATTGGATCTACCTTCTTTGATGGATTAAGTACTAATTTTCCCTTACGAATTTGTGTGAGACCTGCTGAAAAACCAAGCATAGGAGTCCCACTAAAATACAGAAAACTACCAGTACGGTCACCGTGCTCATCCAATACCGCAACCATAGTAAAATGAATAAGGAAAGGAATACTAATATCAAAACCCTTTCCAAGATAAATAACATAGGGAATAGAAGAAAATGTAACTTTAGGGGATATCCATCCAACCTGCAGGCGTATTAGGGCTTCTAATTTTAGACCAGTACATGACTCCAAATAGCAACGATATCGAACTCGTGACATATTTCCATCGCCATCACGTACTGTTAATTGGGCATTAGGGTTCATTCGATTACGTGGGCCAGCAGCTAGATTTGGATCTACTGCCACAAAAAAGCCCGATATGCTTATAGGTCCTTTAAATGGCCTCTCGGATGGAAAAGCCTTTTTCTTTCCAAAAGCTGGATGATCTGTTGATAGCAAATGTTTGTTACGTAACTTTGTAGGAACAGTAGCTTGCTTTTGTCCGAATACCTTATGACTAGTACACAAAGGAGTGTAATTCGGACGTAGAGCACGAGGAATTATCCTTGTAGAAGACGTCAACAACCCGCGATTCCCTGAACTTTGCATATCCGGTTTACGTCAAAGCTTCTGTATCACTAGTGATCCAAAGGCAAATAAAACATACTTTTATTTTTGTTATTGTTATTATTTTTTTTTTATTTGTTATTATTGATGTTTAAAAAACGAAAAGAACAAACACGGGAAAACTTTATTGCTACTATTTGGCGTTTAAAATCCATACGAAACATGTATTTTAACACTACACTGTATTCCCTACTAAACATCCCTCCAGTCGTTCAAAAATATTCTCTGGAATATCCTCATGAATACCATGGGAGGAAGAAGCCTCTTTCGCTTCTTGACACTTAGTGCATAGTAATCGAGCGGCAGCAAAAGCCTGGGGAGCTGGAATACCAAGTGTCTTTTGAATGTATAGAATGGATCTCTTACATTCTTCAAGATTATTGGCCATTATACACATTGCCAATGTTAAAACCCCCAATGCTGTTACATGACTGTGAACTTGTAAGAATTCAACATGCGTAACAGCTTCTTGAATAAGCAATTCAGCAAGATCTAGAAATCTTTGATTTATGGTGCGTAAAAGGGTAAAGGAATCATGTTCAACAAACACAAGATTTAAACTTCCGTTTGATAAATACAAACGAGTCTCATCTTGGCTATCAAGGGGCAGTGAACCCACTATAACATCTAAAGGAACACATCGTGCCACCAAAAGATTTTCACCAAAAAGTTGAAACATTTGAATGTTATGTGATACCGGAATTCCCAACATGGTGCAAAACATTGGAAGTGTATCACTTAATTTCGTCTCCACATCTACTTCCATAGACTTCCATTCCCAATTGAAATCTTTCATAATGAGTAGTTTGAGAGAAATTAGACCATTTTTTTCTTTTACCCTTGTCTCGTCACCAGTTTTAACGAGATCCTTGCTTGTCAGCATATGTAATTGCAAATAAAGGTGGTTAATTACGGTTGTATGAGGAAGGCGCCATTTAAAAAAAGTTAGAACTGTCTCTTCCATGTCCAAAATTTCTTGAGCTGTATATGCCTTATCACATATATGAACAATCTTTCGAAGTTTTGGTAAATCACCATCCATTTCTTCAAATTTTGCAGCAACCCATAAGCAAGTTATAGCTGCTAATTGACATTTACTAAGAGGAATACTCTGTAGCGAATTTGTGATAAAAGCGTCTGTTAGTTGGATTGATAGACACAAAGTTGTACTTTTCAAATCAAACGCTGCGCAAACATCACGCAGCCAACAAGTAATAATTTTCCTGTTCTTATAGCTGTAAACAGTTCCCTTCAGCTTTTTGATATTATCAAACGGGGCTATCTCCTTCTCCTTCATGCCTTGAAAAACGGTACTGGGCAAAAGTGTTTCCCCTCCTGCAGGATGAGATCTGTAATCAATAGAGGCGGGCGGTCCGAATATTCGTTGAACGGAATCCGCCGTTATAGTCGTCCGAATGTTCATTTCTCCCGCCATTATTCAGCAATCCAAAAATACCACCACTGCCAGCACCAGCAGCAGCAAAAAGTAAGCAAGTAAGTAATTAATTAAATGGATCAATAAATAATTACTCCGTTGCGTCCCTTGTCGAAAAAAGGAATGTGTAGGAAAGGAAGTGTCTGTGCAGCTTATAACGATGACGGATTTTCGATTAAAAAAAAGAAAAAACCAACAAAAGAGATGGAACAACGGAAACTCTGTATTTCCAAGTATATTATTATTATTATTATTATTGTTTCTTTCCTTCTTTTTCTTTTATTTACCTATATGTTTTGTAGATTATACGTAGAAAAGGGAGAAATCTTAAAGATGGAAAATAAAAATTTTTTATTGGTTCGGCCACACCTAAAACACAATTCGGAGCACGCCATAAATGGAAAGAGATCCTACGCCGCGTTACATTAGAGGCCCAGTCTTGAAAAGTACGGTTTACTTTCTTGAGCTTTATAACGCATCACATCGCATAGCCTTGTACTAACTACCATCGCAGCTCTGGAACTGAAGCTGAGGCACATCATTTGTGTGAATACCACTCACCAGGTGAGCAACATTGTCTCCGTTTTAACACAAGTAATTCTAACGAGAAAATAAAACAAAAAAAAAAGAAGAAAAAACGTGCCACCGGTTGGTGCTTCACGTACGTGAATACGCCCAGAACAGTTAATATATGTATGTATGTATGCATGTGAATATATATATATATATATATATATATTCTTTTAAAAGCATCCACCGGACGGGAAAAAGGTCGTCGAATCAATTTGCTATTAAGCCAACTCTATTGGCCTTGTTTTTTTTTTTTTTTTTTTTTACTCATAACTCCTAACCGTACCTCTAGTTGGCACCTCGGAAACGATCAAGCTCTGCGTCAAGACCTTCCTTTGTCACTGGCTGCTGTCGTCCACGTCCGCGACCGGCGGGAGCAGCGCCCCTGTGGTGTTCATTCTTATGGCGATTGTGTGCCTTATCTACGTCGCCGCGGCGGTTCCTCTCGCGCCGGCCGCCGTTATTATTATTATTATTATTACTGCTGTTATTCTTTGCTCTTGCGCGGCGAAGTTCGCGCAGTTCCCGCAGCTCCCGCAAGGCGCGCAGTTCCCGCAGTTCGCGGCGCTCGCGTTGGCGCAAGCGCAGGCGGCCGAATCGCAAGCCGCCGTTGTTATTTTGGCGGCCGCGGCGGATCGCCCGGTCCAAGTCGTCGTCCCGCGCGAAACGATCGCGCGCCGCCTGGCGGTAAACACCGCGGTCACTGAAGCGACGGCCCGGCTTGTTGTTATTATTATTATTATTATTGTTGTTGTTATTGCGGCGGCTGCGGCGGACTTGGAAGCCGCCCCGGCCGAAACCCTCGAGACGCGTGCGGCGCTCACTCACGACGAAACGCCGCGGGGCCGCCACGTCGTCATTTCGGTCCGATCGGCGGCCGTCGCGCGCCTCCGCGAGTGCACGAACCCGGCGGACGTTGCGGTCGTACAAGTCACGCAGGCGGCGTCGCTCGAAATCGTCTCGTCGCATATTTCTTCTTGTTGGTTTCTTGTTGTTGTGGGTTACTTATTAGTTTTTCTTTTAGTTCTCTGTTTCGTATTTCTTGCTTGCTTCTTTGGCCCTTTTCCCTCACACTCTTACTATCGTATGTCAGCAGTAAAAAACTGGTTTGTGAGGAAAAAAAAAAATAAGAAAAAAAAAAATGATTTGGTACACAGGGTATCATTATTATGAATCATTGCAGTTAAACATGAGAGAGAAAAAAATAAAAAGCACATAATTACTCTATATACAAGAACCACCTTTTGTATTCCAATTCATTGATGAATCTGTACACAGTGTGTCTGTTTTGTTTTGTTTTCTCTCGTTTTTTTTTTTTTTTTGCCTTTGGCAAAATAAATAAAAATAAAAACAAAATATTTTCTTCTTTACATTTATTTGGCGAAACGAATACGGTGTAATACCACCTCCCCTGTAGAATGACCAGTCATCACAAATGAATCGGATCCTTTTATAGCGGAAGAAAGACAAAGACACTTGTAATCAGCTAGTCGACTGACCACACCGCCTTGCGTAAGATCCACCACATACACGGAGCCATTCTCAGCTGAGAGAATGAATAAACCCGAAATAAATATCGCTTGTTTTACCTTTACCGCAAGTGGAATTGTCACCATCAGTTCAATTTGATTCACAACAAAACGTGCATTTGTGGAAGAAAAAATATCCTCCACACGTACATGAAATAAGTGTAAATGATCATCCATAAAAAACAACGTTCTTGAGGATCCAGCTGCCACTGCAGCGATGCGACATTTGTGTAAATAGGAAGTTCTTTCAGCATGTCGCATGAGGCTCCAAAGCCGAATTGTGTGATCTTCTCCTGCGCTGAAGAGAAACTCATCAGCGAAAAAAGCACACATTATAACACCAGAGTGACCAATAAATTGATTTGTCAGAGTCCAATCACTCACATCATAGACACAAATGGAAGAATGTATTTCAGTATTTACAATCACTGCAACAGACTTCTCATCACTTGATACTATAATTTCTAATTTCCCATCCAGTAAAGTACCACGAGGAAGCGAAATCTCCGCAACATTGAGACCCTTATTAAAATCTTTACATATAATTCGTTTACCATCTCCCTTTCTGCTGAAAAGAATCATATCACCAAGAAATGCAACACTCTGAACGTGGATAACATTACATTCTAACATTTCACTACCATCAAGAGGTTGAAGTATAAGTGTTCCCCTGTCATCAACTGCACCCAGAAGCGTTTGAGAAGAATTAACTTTCAACTGAGTAATTGGAGCAGATGAAAGTTTAGCACTCTTACTCCACATATTTGTAATGCTTTTTTCTCTTGTGGCCTGAACCGAAGAAAGAGGTATATCAGCGAGTCGCCATACCTTAACTTCATTCTTGGAGGTTGCAGCAATGATGATACGATCTCTTTCCTGCATAAAGGTAAAATGTCCTGCAGGGCAGGAGAGAGCTCCTACAAGGTCTCGGGTATACGAATCCCATATAGATATATGTGAGTCACAAACTCCAATAATAAATGCATCATCCTCTGAAAAGTAAGCATATGAAATTCTTTCATCCATACATGGTTTAAGTTCTTTAATGCGATTCCCACTTAATGAGTGCCACAATTTCAATCCTTCAGTCTGTAAGGACAAGAATAAGTTTCCATTTCCATTAAAACGAACACTATCAACTGGTGTTAGGCCGGCATCAATCAGGTGAAGCAGTTCACCGGTACCAGACCATACCCAAATGTCATTCTTCACACAAGAAGCAATAAGGCTACCATCGGAAGAAAAATTCACACAATGAATAGCTCCACTATGAACCAGTTTTATTACTTCAGACTTTATTATTATATATAGTTCATACAGGGACAATACAAGAATATTATTTCCAAAGAAGAATACATCCCGCAGAGGGGCTTCAATATTAGGGAGTTCTGAAACGATTTTTTTGTTGGAAACATTGATGATAGAAATAAGGTTACGAGAAGGGTGATGAACTACAAGATTAACACCAAATACATCCAATGCTTTTTCAAATATAGATGCACTTGTGTCCTCCAGTAATGTAAAAGAATGTATGGCGAAGTCCCACAAGAGAAGCTGTTCATCACCAATAACAACAACACGAGTCCCTGCTGCAATAAGTGCTCCACGAAGATTCTGATTTAATTCAAAAGGCATAGATAATCGTGCGATTGCTTTTTGAAAATCCAATGTTGAATAAATTTCAACTTCTTGTGCAGTTGTTACTGCAAGGTATTCCTTCCGAAGATGACAGTGTATAGGTGGATGTTTACATTCCAGAGAATTCAGAGATGTATCTACATCCCCGCGGTTTAATGGAACCAGTACTGTATAGGGCACCTCTGTAACTTCAACAGCCGCTCGGTAATACGGTGATGCATCCGATCCCAATAGTGATGACTGAAATAAAAATCCATTATACAATTCTAAACTTTCAAGTGCCCTATGAAGATCTCTACGACTCAGACGACGAATACTTTCTGCCATTGGTGAGCAAGCACAATCTTGACTCAGTTCCAGAAAAAGATCACGTGCATTTAAAAGACGAAAAATATAATCAATAGCATAGATACAATTTTTTTCATCTCGTTGTAAAAGTGTATCCATAATAACGGTATCCAAGAGTAGATCATTAGCAGCATCAAAATTTCCATTTGTCATTATAAGAGGTCCTAAATGTCTAAAACTGAAAGACATCTCTGAACTTTCAGTCTTTATAAGTCTATATAGATGTGTTTCTACTAGTACACTAATACTTTCTTGCATTTCAGTGTAAAGTGATACAACAGCTTGACGTACATATGGACTTGATAAATAAACAATAGAATCTTTTGTAACTGTTACAAGACCATCATCTGACATCATAAGAAGGAGAGGCAATGTTTTATGTCGTGTACATGGACCAAGTTCCTCACATATGTAAAGAAGTTCAGATATGGGCAACGGGGCTGCCGTAAGGCTTAACATTATATAACGCACTGTGAGAGAATTACCTAATACCTCATATCGTTTTAGTAGTTTGACCAGTAATTCTTCAAGCGTATCAGGTATCTCTTCTGCAACAAGAAATGCAACGTCGTGTTCAAGTAATTCTTTTGGTAACCGCTGTAAATAGGATGCTGTGAATTTCGCAAAAGAAATACCTTCAGAACCTTCTTTTTGTAGAAATGCCGTTTCTAGTGTTTTGGCAATTTCTACTGGACGAGCATTATTACTACCGTTAATACTACCACTACGACTAATATTACCCGTAGCACTAGCCGCAGTAGTAGTAGTAGCCGTAGCAGCAGTCGTATTAATAGTACGGGAACGACTACTCTTGTCATTATTGCTTCCACTAGCCGTATCCATGTTTAGACCAGCTACACCCCTTCTCGCAAGTTCTTCTAAAAAACGCTCTGCTCGAGCATTTCTCGGTAATGCTGTAATAAGCACCTCGTAAGGTTGAGGAAGACGTTTTCGAAGAACAGGAAGGAGAGGACTCTCTGTGTTCAGTGTCACAATAATTCTAACTGTTGGCGGCAAACTTGCGGGAAGCCATTCCAGCACCATCGACTCTTGTCCATCAGCGCCATCCAGAATATCAACGCGGGATACAAGCAATAACACCATTACACCATCGTAATTACATATCGCCTCACGTACAGCTCTAGCCAACTCTCCAACAGTGTAGTATAAACGCTTTGATTCCTTTGAAAATATACGGAGCAGATAATATAAAAATACGACAAGATTTGATTTTTCAGGACTAATACAATAAGGAAATACTCTGACAGAGTCTACTCCAGCGTATTTGGATGCCACCCAGTAAAGAACACGAGATTTACCGAGTGTACCAGCACCGTAGAGAATCATTGGAACAGAGGTGGAACCAGATGATGACTCCAAGTAATAAATAAGATCATTGCATTTGGGATGTAGTGCACCAATGTGTTTATCCTTCTCTATTTTCTCCCACAACTCCTCATCCACTTCTTCCTCCATTAAATGGGTGTCCATTGACCGCGGACGTTCTGAGAAGACAGTATAAAGTGCAGTATAGAGATCGCTCTGACAACGTACATTCCAGCTGCTCTCGCTGGTGATTACAGCAGCAGAAGGGGCAGTCGTAACTCCATTCACTGTAACAATACCGGTCGTCATTAGCCATTCATTCGGTGGAATTGTTGGTTTAACATCTAGTTTATCATATCCCCCAATAGCAGATAAACTTGTCACATCGTATACATAAAGATGTTTCACACACCTGTACAATGGATCGCGAAGTCCACCAAGTTTACTACGCAATGGTGGCATAATAGGTTCTTCCTGACGTAACACATCCAATAAAGCACTGCGGTCAACATCATGCCATTTCTCAGTCTGAGAAACAAGAGCGATACACCAACTTAGTAAATAGTTCTGCATCTCCTTACATCGACGAACCTTGTTATTAATAACATCATCGATATCCTCTTCGTCAATAGTTAATGGAGCAATACGAAGTCGAAGTTTTGAGACAAAACTACTAACTAGTGGTAATATATCAGCGCAGTACTTCCGCACGAGATGTGAGGGTCCCAGTACGAGAACAAATACCGTTCTCCATTCTCGCAAACTCCGCTCTGGTCCGTACGGGTAAAAACCAAGTCGTTGCAGTTCATCATTGGCTTTACAACAACGATCCACTCGTTGCAGCCACTCCTCCGAAACACCGCACTTCTCCATCTTCACTTCACGCAGGGTTGGCACAGTCCTCGCCACATCCCAAAGAAGACGAACAGATGGAGTTGACAAGGGATTCTCCGAAAGATCAAGATAAGAAAGAGATGAATTTCTGCGTACAAGCGAACATAAATCTTCTATACACGCAGCATCAAGACTATTCTTTCGCAGAATCAGTCTACGAACACCAGTAAGGCTACTAAGAAGAAGAAGAAGTGCCCTCACTCCCAGATCACCCAAGAAGGTTCGGGAAACATCCACTTCGCTAATCATAAGAAAGTCCGGTTTAGCCATCTGCTCCATCACATCTTTATTCGGTTTCACCCCGTACGATTCGCAGCACTCCTTGTAGAGATCATGAGCGGCAGAAAGGGACATTGTTGCAACAGAACGCAACGCAAAGAACTGAATGAAAGAAAAAAAAAAAAGAGAGAGAGAAAGAAAGAGAGAGAAATTCCGTAGAAAGCCAGAAAAAATAAAAATATAAATAAATAAACACATACTCGTTCCCAACAACATTCATACCTCAATACTATGAGGCTTCTCTTTTTTTACTTTGTTTTTAACCTTCTTCACTAATTAATAAATGAGACACTGCACTCCATGCTCACGTAATATCGGAACAACACTGTCATCCCTTAAACTCGGGTGCGATATTCTCACCGTACGCATGTACATCAGAGGCAAAAGAAAAGAAAGTGATGTTTTCAACGATAAACACTTACAAACTGACAGTACCCTTAGGTACAATAACGACTCACAAACAACAGATAACTGTTTCTCCGTAACTCCTGTAGAGTCCAAGCAAAGTTCAGCTAAACATCGTGCCGCTATAATCCAATCAAAATATGAAGTAATCACCCGTATTAAAGAAAGGAACCGAAGATTATCCTTATTCCATAGCCGTTCTTGCATATTAGGAAGACGAAGTCCATCAAGTGTGAGAAATTTAACAGATTGAAGTCCCTGTATGCATTCCAACAACTCATCAGGTTTCACTGCTGTATGTGAGAGATTTACATAATCCAGTGTCGCTATAGATGCGAGGGCACTGACTAAACGAAGATTACGACAGCTTGCGGCAGAGAAGTATCGCAGAGATGGATGATTAGATAATGAAGTCAGACTGGTTATTCCATTGCAAGAATCAATTATAAGGCGACGTAATTGCACAAGTTGACCCAATATATTGATATCACTGTCAGAAATAGATGAATCACGAATATTAATATCAGATAAATTTTTCATTCCTCGTAGTGGTAATAATGAAAAAACCTTTGTATTCAAAGTAATAAGAGTTTTAAGATTTTTCAATTCACATATACCATTCAACTTCCCATCCATCTCACGACGGCCACATATTGTGAGATGTTCCACACTTTGAAGCGGTTCAAGTATCTTTCCTGTCCCTCTCTTATACCGCTCTAGCAAGATACTAAAATCAACGGTTTCTAACGTTATAATGTTCATAATAAGAGTATCATTTGATAAGTTCTGTGCAGAAAGAAGAAGTTCCTCCAGCACTCGTACATTCTTGCAACTTATACGCACACGTGAGGGTCGTTTGATCACAGCTGTGAGAAGCGCTAACTGCGACAGCACAACAGGGACGGGTACCGCAGATTCATAAGCATTCAGTTGCACGCCAGATTGTAAAACATTCAACTCAACCACAATATCGCCGGTGTCCTCAACGGAGGGAAATCGTCGACCGGCTCTTCGCCTGCCAGTCGGTGTGGAAATAACAGACAACATCGTTCGCGGGTGGGCGGCATACCACAGACAGACAGCACGTTCATTCCCCTCTTCTACCAATCTCTCTGCAATGCCGGCAAGGACATCCACACCTAATATCATGCGTAATCAGACAAATATGAACACACAAAGAGAGAAAAATATATATATATATATGTTTTTTTTTTTTTTTTGGGAGTGCGTTGGAAATCCACAAAGAGTTTTGTCGATTACTGGAAAATAAAATAAAAAAAAGGAAAAGAAAAACAAGAATGAATATTACCAACACCACCACAACCATAAAGTATTACCTTTCACTAAGAAGGCATCACTGAGAATATTTGCATTCTCTCTTTTTTTTGTTTTTCTCGTGACCTCCCCTCTTATCTTAACTTTCTTCGAGAATGCATTAATAATAATAATAATAATAATAATAATAATAAAATAAAAAAACAATAAATAATCTGGAAATAAGTGAGGGTACATTTTACAAATGAGCCTGTAAAGCCCCAGGAACGCCCATCTTATCAAACATCATTTCACGCAACTGTCTTGCCTCCGCTGCCTTGACAGTTTCTTTTTCAGTCTTAGGAAAAGGAACTAATTTTCCAGGGTTACAGATGTTCTTGGAATCGAGCAACTTCTTAAATTGCATTATCACCTCCAGACCTGTTTTACCATTATAACGTTGCATCCACGGAACGTGTTCATACCCAATTCCATGGTGGTGAGTTAAGTTCCCGGTATGATTAAGCATCTCATTTGTAGCACGTTTTTTGATTTCCAGAAAGAGTTTTATATCGTTCTCATCTTGTTGTTCACCCATAAATGTAAAATATAGACAACATCCAAAACGATATTGATGTGCTGTATGGCAACCTATCCAGCCATTCTTCCCATTTTCCTTCATCACACTTGTGAATGCATTCTTCACGGCTTTCCAGCATCGAATAGCATCTGTGTACATGACACTTGTCTCAAATACATCCGCCCATAGGCGATGGGCTAGTGCAAGATCTCGAAAATACGGTAAATCATATTTCTTCTCTTGCCAAGACTTCCCTGGTTTTGCACCAAGGCAGACCGCACCAAAAGAATTAAAAATACCAGATAATTCACTTCGTTGAGACCCTGTTTGATTTTTTGAACCTTCGAAGCCTACAATAACAAGAGATAATTTCTTGATATCCCATCCCTTTACCTTTTCAAGGTATTTTTTGAGACCTTTGCTCATGAGTGTGCTTACCAAACCACTATCCGTGCTTGAAGCAAAACTGAGTCGGGTATCATCCTCATCATATAGACGCATTGTGCATGGATGAACTCCTTTTCGTGTACATGTATGGAAGGCTGAGAAGGCCACTTCAAAGGATGGAAATAACCAACCTTCGTAATGTCTCACTTCAGGAATACGTTCAACCTTAATAGTGGCCTCCGTAATAATACCAAATGCACCTTCAGAACCAACGAACATGGCATTAAGATCTACACCGCATGGTCTTGAAGTAAGAGGCGTTTCCACTACACCAATTGGAGTTACCACTTTCATTGCAAGAACCATATTTTCAATATCACCGTATTTGTTAGACATGGCACCACTACCACGAGCTCCAATCCATCCGCCAAGTGTAGAGTGTACATAGCTGTCTGGGTCGTGTCCAACCATAAATCCATATGGATGGAGTTGTTCATCCATGTCTGGGCCCAAAGCACCCGCCTCAAAAACGGCAAATCCGGATTCTTTGTCAACACGCAGCATTCTTCCCATTCGGCGCATGTCAATAGAAAGAACCATACGCTTTGTTTCAAATGGGCTTGGCTCTACTCCACCAGTAACATTGGTACCACCTCCAAAGGGAATAAGAACAACATTATGCTTATTGGCCAATTCCATAATCTTCACACAATCATCATGGCAATTTGGAAGAACAATAGCGTCAGGTGCACGATCAATCATTCCGTTTCGAAGGCGCCAAAGATCTCGATAGTTTTTTCCGAATACGTGTGTGAGACGACTGAGACCATCTAGATGAATCTGATCCTCCAATAAGACTTGACGCAGTTCACTGAGAAAATCTTGATTTATAAACGCCTGTGGAAGACCTTTAATTGCCTCTTCTTCCGTAATACCAGGCGCTTTCACAAGCACCGCTGTCCCAGTTTTGTGAAAAACTTCTTTCTGTACAAAATCCAGTATACCTTTCATGGGCTTCCCATTCACATGAAAAACCATGTTTGCTTTATCATCGTACCTCAATCCTACATGTTTATCTCCCCATCCATTCCATTTAATCCCTTTGTAGGCGTCATTACGCTGATCTTCCTGCATCTATTATTTTCCCTTTTTTTCTTTTTTTTTTTTAAAAAAAAAGTATAAGATGGTTAATAATAGAAAATAAACTTTTCTTTAATCTAAAATTTTGAATCACTCCGGAACTGGCCGAATTAGTAGAAAATAAACAGAATGAAACTGAATATTCACCGTTGACACCCCCGCACATTCACAACGCGGTGAGAGACCACAAGAGAAGAAAAAAAAAAAAAAGAAAAAAGAAAAAAAAAAAGAAAAACGCAATTTGAAGAAAGAAACACGAAGAAAAACAGGAAGGTTGTAGAGCAAGCACCTAAACACTAGAATTACCACTATATTTTTTTTTTCCTTTTCATAGCTTGAAAAACTCAAAAAAAAAAAAAATAATAATAATAATCATAATAATAATATAATTGATTTCACGACCTTGGCATGCCACAAATGAAACGAATGATCCCTAGTGTCAATCCTATTCGCCACGCATCCCAACGGTGTCGTGAGATTGAATAATTATTTTCATCGGCCCTTTGCCCTAGTTCCAATATAGTCTTTCGCAGTTCACGAATTTGTGCACATGACTCTTTGGGAAGACCACAACGTTGCATCTCCTGTTCCATTCCACTTAGACAGAAAAGTGTCATTTGTTGATTAAAACCGAAAAATCCAGCCGTTTTATTACGACGCTTTAAATCATGCGAACGAATATCTTGGCGAAGAAGTGGAAATATAATGCCATCACGAATAGTATTGGTATTTGTAAGCAGCATTACAACGCGATCAATTCCCATACCCCATCCAGCAGTTGGAGGAAGACCTACCTGCAAAGATTTTAAAAAAGTCTCATCTAATGGCATAGCTTCATCATCACCGCTTCGTCGGTCCATTAATTGTTGTTGAAAACGATAGTATTGTTCTTGTGGGTCATTGAGTTCACTGTAAGCATTACAATACTCAATACCATTAATAAAAAGTTCAAAACGTTCTGAAAGTCCAGGTATTGATGCATGTTCCTTTGCCAGAGGACTCATAAATAATGGATGATTCATCACGAACGTAGGTTCTACCGTTCGATCTGTAATAAAAAATTCAATAAGTTTATCAAACATTTTCGCTGCTGTTCGTACTGGAGGTAAAGGAATATCATGTCGTAGCATTATGGCAGACATATATGCAAGTCCTCTTGGAGTGTTTAGTTCATTCGGTGGTGGAAGTTCTACACCCGCTGAAGATTGTATTTCATCATAAACATTTACACGTCTAAAAGGTTTGCTTAAATCAATATCAACTACATCTTGACTATTTTGTTGAGAGTAAAGTTTCACTACAGTTGTCCCATTAGCACGAATAGCCAAGTGACGTAGAATTTCCTCTGTCATAGGCATAAGATCTTCATATGTGTGGTAGGCAGCGTAAAACTCACAGCTTGTAAACTCAGGGTTGTGACTACGGTCAGCATCCTCATTTCGGAATACTCTTCCAATTTCATAAACACGTTCCATTCCTCCAACGATACACTGTTTTAAATGCAACTCTGGTGCAACTCGAAGATACAAATCCGCTTCATTTGCATTATGATGAGTAACAAAAGGCTTAGCGTTAGCTCCAGAAGCAACGGTATGAAGTATAGGTGTCTCCACCTCTACAAAATTTCGTTCATCTAAGTATTCACGTAATCCCTTGAGAATTGCATGACGTTTTTTTATTCTCTCAATAACATCTCGGTTTGTCATCATATCAACAAAACGATAACGATACTTCACATCATTATCCTGTAATAAAGTAAAGCCACGGAGATTTGGGCAGACCACCTGATCTGTACAGACGTATGGACTCAGCACCAGAAGACTAGAAGCAGTAACAGAAAGTTCTCCCTTCTGTGTACGACATGGAATTCCTTCCACACCAATAATATCTCCAACTCGCAAGGATGTCTTTAGCTTTTTTAGACATTCACGTGTGAAGTGTTCGCCCACGTGACTCACTATTTGCAACTCCAATCCATCTGAACGAATTGTGAGAAAGAGTATCTTCCCCATATCCCGCATACCCGCCACACGTCCGGCCACGCGCACTTTCGTCTCTGTCTCCTTCTCACCAGGCGCGAGATGATTGTAGCGGTCTCTGATCTCCGCAACGGTGGCGGAGCTGCGGAATGACGTGTACGCCGCGGGGAAGTCGAGTCTCGTGCGTTTCATCTCCCGCGGCCCGCCGGCTGTTCGTTTCGGCGACGGCGATGGCGATGGCGATGGGGCGATCGATGCGGCGGCGGCCCTCTTCGCGGCGACTGCGGCGTTGAGAGCCCGCAGGGCGACGGGGGGCCAGCGACGCATCGCCACAGCGCGGAGACTGTGAGTATTGGTTGCTACTGTCGAATAGTCATTGGGAGCGTGTGTGTGTGTGTGTGTGTGTGTGGAAGAGAGAGGGGAGAGAAATAAAGTGAGTGAAATGGAAAAGAAAAAAATAAAAATAGTTAAGCAAATATATAGGAAAAGAAACCATCCAAGAAAATAATAATAATAGTAGTAGAAAAAAAAAACCTTCTCCGAGCGAAAACGTTGCATGTGAGCCTCCATTTCTATTTTTCTTTTTCCATTAGAGCCCCATAAGAGAAGAAAAGTAATGAAATAAACTAAAGAAAAAAAAACTGCAACTAATAAAGCAGTAATCAGCTAAAATTTGTAGTTCAAAAAGTAGAATTTAAAGGACAACGTCAGCAGCATATGAAAAACTCCTACCACAGCCACAGTTCCTATAAACCACGCACGATTCAATATAGTCTTCCATATATGCCAGAAATTAATAAGAAGATAGGCAGTTGACCACACCCCACCTAGCATTACAATTACCCATTGGAATGCAGAAACAGGAATAGTGCAGAGGATTGCCATTGGTAGAAATATAAACATACTATATCCGTAAAGACATAGTGTGTCCGTCAACGATACCGGAAGTCCTTTGTACTTCATGAGACCCCAAACAAAGCAACCAAATCCAAAGCAATATAGGTACATAACAATGCATGCCACAGAAGCCATAGAGAAATCATATTTCCACTTTTTATCCTTATTAGAGCTATCGTGAGTAAACGCAATCTTACTCATAATATTACTTACAATACCAAGGGTCATCCATAATGTTGTACATATCCAAAAAGGGCCGTATAGATCTGGTTTGCGAGATAGTGTAACACCAGCTTCTTGTAGCTCGTAGGAAGGAGTTTGTGCAGCAGGATTACACCAGTCACGATCCATTAAAAAATCAGGAGGGTTAATCGGCACCAAAGTATTACTCATACGCAAAAGCACCAGACGAGTGTCAACATCAAAAAATTGCTGATAAAACTCAATAGTCCAAAATTTAGAAGTTGGTACAATCTGTTCTGGCTGTTGTTGTTGTTGTTGTTGTTGTGGATGTTGAGGTTGTTGTTGTTGCTGAGGTAAAGGCATTTGGGAGTTCTGTGGCACAGGCATTACTGGCGGTGGTGGTACACTCGAGTATGAAGGTCCACTGTAAAACCCTTGTTGAGAGGTATTTCCTCCAGAACTGATTGATAAATCCTTTGATTGCCGCATTTGTTTTGGCTGTTCTGCGGTAGTGTATGATGCCTGCGACTGTGCAAATGGAGTTGTTACGGTGTTGTGTACTGAAACAATAGCAGGTGATGTGGAATTCGTGCGGGTTGTCGCAGGGGAGCCAACAGCGGGGGATTTGGGCTGACTTTCCTCCTTAAAGGGGTCGTCCTGCTGCTCATATGGGTTTGCCATCGTGTTCTGATCTCTCTATTCTCTAGCATGAGATCAGGGAGAGAAACAATGGCATTAAAGATTTGAATAAAGCCGGAACAAAAAAAAGAAAAAAAGGAAAAAGTGTATGAGAGAAGAAAAAAAAAAAAAGAAATTAAACCCAGAAAATAAAAAACAAAGAATCACAGAATTTAAAGTGGAAAAAAAGAGAAGGAAACGATGTATTATGAGAAATAGAAAAAAAAAATGTAAATAAGAAAGATGTCAAAGAGAAGATTGAGAAATAATATTAACACGGAAAAAAAAGAAAATGTTCTCACTAAATAGTTGTTGCTTCTTCATTTGATAGGGATATTCGTTTATTCATTCATTATGCTCTTCTTCTTTTTTTTTTCCTCCCCTCAATCTATGTCTCTCCCTCTATCTCTACACAGAGAGGGATAAAAACAACGCGCAACGAATGAGCAGTATGAGAATGAAATCCGTACAGTTTAATTTAATAATATATATATATATATATATATATATATATATATATATATATATATATNATATAACTTTTAGCGTCGTCTGAGGCGCATTATGATGACAGCACCGGCCAGCAGTGTAGCTCCGAAAACAACACCACCGAGGAGCTTTAGTTTGAGTCGTTGCTTCTCCTTTTGGATTAAACCAGCGTACTTTGAAACAATAGCCTCATGAAGCGCCTTTTCTGTTTCCAGCTTTATGGCGGGATTATTGTACCACTCGATCTGCGTAATTCCGCAGGTGTCCGACAGCACGGCCTCCGTAAGCCGCTGCGCGTCCATATCTGTCAACTTGCATGAACAGAGATCGAGCAGCTGCAGATGCCGCATGTGCCGTGCGTTCTCTGTGAGTGCCGTCCTCCCGGCGGGCCCCACTGCCGCATTGCAGCCGAGATCCAAATGCCGCAGATGTGGACTGCGTGTTTGGGCAACCGCCTCAGCAATGGCGGTAAATCCAATGTCAGCGATCTTATTAACGGAGAGCGTTAACGACTCCAGTCGTGAGGCGGGGGAGAGAATGAGATGCTCGGCAATCGCAACGGCCCCGGCATCGCCAATGCCGTTGTCGCTGATGTCAAGAGAGCGAAGTGTTGGGTGGTCCCGCAGCGCCTTTGCGAGCAGAGAGGCACCCACGTCACCAAGAAGATTGAACGCTAACTGCAGTTCTCGTATGTAATTGCTAGAAATAACACCGTCGCATAGAGTCGGAAGACCCCGTGGAGTTAGATGATTAGATACCAAGAAGAGTGATTGTAGGCGACTCTCCTGTAGTAAGTAGGCTATATGCAGCATGGACTCATCAAGAATACCATTTTCATTTAAATCAAGGTAGCGTAGCTTTGGACAGTGCTGCATGAGTGCCTTACAGAGATACTCTGCCCCCCGAGGTCCCATTCGGTTATCTTTTAAATCCAATTCCTCCAAGTTTACCATACGAGATATATGTTTTTCTACAATATCTATAAACAACTCTGCAGACAAGCTGTTTCCCGATAAATCCAGTGAACGGACACGTGTATGATCATTAACCACTGTTTCAAGAGGCGTTGTGGTAAGATCATTGTATGAAAGATCAATATCCACCATTTTGCCTCGCTACGCCTACTAATACTATTATTACTTTACAAATAAAAGATTCCAAAAAAAAAAAAAAAAATGAGTATTCATATAAAAACAAAAACAACAACAAAAAAAAAAGAATCTTAAGACAAACGTAGAGAATATAAAAAACTTGCGTCACCTCTAATCACAGAAGTACACATAAAGATTATATATATATATATATATATATATATATATATATATATCATTTTACTCGTTTATTTTGTATTACGTTAGTGAAATATTATGCCGAAAGGGAAAGCATGGCAGAAGAACACCATTCCAACGATCGATAGGCAATTCGTTTAAGCCCCATACGAAGTATGGTGCTGAGTTTCTTGTTAACTGAAAGAATCTCCCCATCCCCATCCTCATCCTCATCTTCATTATCTTTTCTCTCTGTTCCCTCAGTACTGTCCGCTTTCAATCGCTCCATATCCTCCTCTAATGATGTTGATGACAAGTCCAATATACATTGAACCGTTTCAGCTATTGTCTGGATAACACGCAACTCTGTACTTGTGCTCAAAGACACGAACGGCCCTTCACGCTCCATAATGTCAAACTCCTCCGCTTCGGCGAGATGCACTCGCAATAGTGCCAGAAGGGCTGCTGGCGGGTGTCCACTATAACCAATCCAACAACGACCGACAAGATGCAGTGCGTACTTCGCTACCAGTGATGCCCGTCGCTCATCCCACACATCACCGGTCACTGTTGTTGGTGTATCGAAGGGGAACGGCAACTTATCATACTCGTTGTTCTCAAGTACAAAGCCGTAAAACTGCAACAGTTCCCAGTTTTGGAGAGGACCGTAACTCATCCATAACTCATGGCCAACATCCTCAGCAGTTAAACTAGGTCCAATCTGCATGACAAAATCCCCTTTATTTGGTTCCACCTTCCGTACAAGGACATTAGAACGGTTATTGTGGTTAATCATATCTGCAATTGGCACTAATGACAGTACGACTCGTTCATCAACGCGAAGATTAAAAGCACGTGAGTCAAAAGTAGCGCGGGCCCACATGATTGCTTCAACACTAAATTGATCCAAAAAATCATCTTTTTCAAGTCCACTTCGCCCCTCAAGAGCTTCATATATTATTGGTAATACTGACATTACCTCCGTGTGAAACTGCAACAACTGCGCTCTCTTGGCTAACACATCATCCAACACATCGAGGCCTTCAAGCTCTGCAAGATCATCCCAATCCCAGAAACTCGGTACGGTAGGGTACATAGTTGGACATGAGGAAATCAATTCACGCCAATGGGATGCATCTTTCGCCACATAACGTTCGTAAATAAGAGCAAGAACCAAAAGAGGTTCATCATCTGTAAAGATATCAGATAGTTCAGTGGATGCATGAACAACTCGACCCAGTTCACTAAACTCTACAACTGTATCAATGAAGAACATGGAACTACGAGGTACACGTAGAAGATCTGCGAATGCTGGTAGCGGTGTGTTGCAGACAAGAGAACCCTCCACCCCTGTAGAAGCAGGAATAACAAGGTATGGAAGTTTACTGGACTCTCTAGTATCATTATCATGTGGTTTCACAAGTGGTAAAGAAGTTACCGGTTTTACCGTCTTGTTAAGATGATTTTCCAGTGTTTCATACAACTGAGATGCAGTAATCTTATCAGTCAGCTGTTCAATCCATGATCGTAGTAACTTTACAGCAAGTTGTTCGTTCCAGAGATCAACAGGAGATGTAAAGGACTCCAGGAAAGAGTCCGAAAGATGTTCCCACAGTACACGCTGGTCTGCAGCAAGAATGCGACAGATGCACATCATAGAAGTAAAATCATCACATTTGTTTATATTAAAAACACTACGCTCCAAATAAAAACGTTTTACTGAAGCACAGTCACTTTCATCTAATTTTACCTCAAACCACTTTTTCAATTCTGTTTCCATCCTTTATTTTTTTTATTTTCTAAACTGCAAACAGTAAAAAGGCCAAGCAAAAAAGAAGAGAAATAAAATATATATATATAAAATAAAAGAGTGGGAAAGAAGAAGAAAAAAAAAAAAAAACCGAAGATAAAAGAAAAAAGTCAAAGATGGGAGAGGTAGATATGTGTAAAATAAAAATAAAATAAAAAGAGTTACTGTACTTCTCTTTATAACAAAGCAAATAAGTAGCGCAACGATTATTCCCATATTAACCTTTTTGTTTTTTTTACTCATATATATATATTTTTTTTCCAACTTTCTGAGGTAAATAGCAACTTCATATCAAATTATGGTTAGCTTCAACAGGAAAAGTGAAGTTTATTGACTTCACAAAAACGTTCCTGTAAATATGTATAGATATCAGGTCGCTGACGTCGTCTCTCAGCGTACTTACTCTTCTCACTTTCCGCTTGTTTCGCTGCTCTACTAATCTCTCGTAAAATCCCCCGCACAAGTTTCCCTGAGGCCCAGTTTACCAACCACATTGGTGCATGTGGGAGTTTTGGATCAAGATTAATAATAAATGAAATTCGACAGCGCGATGGGTCAAGTGCCTCTACCACAAATCCACCATACTCCACCTCAAGCCGCACGTACGGGTTAGGTTTGGGCAGTTGAACCCAAGGTGGTAAGGAACGATTCTCGCAAAGACTACGAGAAACAATAATAACACGTTTATTCAAAGAAAGATCATCCACCCCAAATCCTTCTAGAAATATCTCGCGGTTTGTAAAAGGCCATGGTACACGAATCATTAATTGAGATGCCTTATGGAAACGTGTTAATTCCCCTTGAACTGTGGCATGAAAACAAAAAGGAAACCATTCCGTATAAAGGTCTGGTTCCATTAACACTCCCAAAACATATATAATACTGTTCGGAACTTCTCCAATAACTTTAAATAAATGCGCCTGTGTTTTTTCATCATATCGATAATAGGTACCATCGTCATTAATACCACTGGACTCTACTAATTTCCAATGTATCTTATCAGCAATGTCATCAAGAAGCTGAGAGCAGTTTTGTACCTTTTCTAATGAGACTCGGTACAATTTAGAGTCACGAATAAAGCTCATAAACAAGTTGATGCTAAGCGAAGAGGGTGAAGCAGCGGCTAAGACGTCTACAGAGTTTGTAGGTTTAGCAATCACAGGTTCTGGCGATACAACTGATACTAAAACTTCTGTACACATATTAAGTATTGAATTAATGGTTGATTGAACATCAAAGTGTCGATCATTAGCAAATAACTCTTCTGCAAGTTTCAATCCTGAACGCACTCGTTCTTGTAATTTCTCTGGGAGAAACATTATAAGACGCTTGCATAACTGTTCATCGAAGAGAACAGGAATGTTATCTGCCATATTGATGACGTATGACAGACGTCTTGTTGGCAAAAAAAACAAGAAGAAAGATAAGCCACAAAGAGAAAAAAAAAAAAACAAAATAATAAGACTAATATAACACCAACAATTATTATTTCTATTAATATTATTATTAGTAGTAATAGTAGTATTAGTACTATTATTATTATTATTATTATCACTATTTCTTTTTTCCTTATCATAGACGCAAATACCAATCGTATTAACAGCTTATCCATTTGAACCTATTTCTTTTTCCCCCTATGTACGTTTTAAAAATTTGATGGCATAAGCACCTACGCCCCACTGATAAAACACAAACACAGACACACACCCATATATACCGAGAGAGAGAGAGAGAGAGAGAGAGAGATGTCTTCATCCACTGAAGAAACCCCATTCCCTGCCTTCCTTCCTCCTTTTTCTTTTTTTTTTTTTTTTTCTTCTTCGTCTTTTCTTTTTATTGTCTTCTGTTCCTTATGTTTAAACCTTCTCAGTGTCCCTTTCTCTTGTATACCCCATGTGGTAGGTGGTATGGCAAGTAAACAAGCTAACTGGTGTTATTACTGAGTATCCTTCGTTTCCCTAATATGGCAGTTTGCCATTCGCTCCAGTACGCCGACGACGGCGGAGTTGTCCTTATCGCCCTCGCCGTGCTGGAGCATGGACTGGAAGAGCTGTGCGTTGACGGCTGTGGTTGGCAGCGGGGCGCCGAACTCCCTTGCGGAGTCCATCACGATGCCCAAGTCTTTGCTCTGCAGCGAGGCCTTGAAGCCGGGCTCGCGGTTGCCGGCGAAGAGGCGCTGCGGCTTCACGTCGAGCGTCCAGCACTGCGCGGCGCCGCCCTTCACCGCCGAAATCACCCGCTGCCCGTCGACGCCGCACTTCTCCGCAAAGACGAGCATTTCGCCCATCGCCACCATCTGCGCGGCGACCATGATTTGATTCGCCGCCTTGCAGACCTGCCCGGCCCCACTCGCGCCGACGTGCGTGATGGTCGTGCCCATCGCCCGCAGGACCGGCATCACCCGCTGCAGCGTCGCCTCGTCGCCGCCGACCATCACCGTCAGCGTGCCGTTGCGGGCGCCGATGTCGCCGCCAGAGACCGGCGCGTCGAGGCACTGCACTTGTTTCTCCGCCCACAGCCGGGCGGCGATCTCCCGCGCCACGGACGGCTTGATGGTGCTGTTGTCCACCACCACACTGCCGGGGCGCACACCAGCACTCACGCCGTCGTTGCCAAAGATGACTTCATACACGTCCTGAGAGTCGGACACGTTGGTGAAAATCACATCCACCTGACTCGCAAGATCCGCAGGAGAGACCGCCGCACGAGCCCCCTGGGTCACAAGCTCATCCATCTTGGACCGTGTACGATTGAATACCACCAGGGGGAAACCGGCTTTGAGGATATTTCCCGCCATAGACTTCCCCATCAGGCCAAGTCCAATGTAACCAACCTTAAGTGACATCTTGAATTATCTGAAATAAATAGGTTCTTTCTTATTTTCGTTTTCTTTTTTCATGTTTATTTTTTATTTTTTGCATTTCAGTGGAATTCACACAGAAACATATATAGAAAAAAAAAGAAAAAAGCAAGATACGGGAAAAGGAAGTAGAACAAAACCAAAAAAATAAGAGCATTTGTTGGTAGGGTCCCTTTCTCCATCAAGGTAACACAAAAACAAAAAAAAAAAAAAAATGACCATGAAAAATTATGAATAAGAACAACAATAAAAAAGAAAAAGAGAGTGATATACCCAAAGACACACACCCTCAAACTAGACCAGTTAACATAAGCAAATTATTATTACAAATAATATCTCATTATCATAATATGTGCTATCATTATGAGAGCAAGTAGAATTCTCGTTTTATACCTTCAGGTAGACCATCAAAACACGCCACAAGTGGAATTTCAAGCAACTCTTCAACACACATGGATTTCACAGATTCAGAAATCCATGACTCCAACTTTGAGTGAAACACATTAAAAGCTATCCGACTTATCCTTGGTGCAATACCAAGTCGTGCACGAACATTAGACATGTGCATAGACATTTCTTTGGATACCTGAAATACGAATATACGTACTGGTAGTGAACTACAATTTGGACTATGTTGCTTTACCACAGAAATGTATTGCATACATTCACTATGAGATGGATTAGTATTATCAATAACAACACTCTTACCAGCTTTCCACGACTTCTCCGCCTCCAGTAAACACTTTTCTTTTGTTTTAAGAGTGTCACGATTAATGTGTACGTATCCGGCAGGCTCAAAGAAACGCTTAAAAAACGTTGTTTTGCCGCACCCAGGATATCCAACAAATATTACCATCTCTTGTGAATCCCGAATAAATGTTGCCGGTGTTGGAATTTCAAAATTATCTTTCGTTCCATCAGATTTAATACGTTTCACCGTAAGGTTGTCGTAAGATGAAGCCAATCCTTTTAATTCATCAGGTCCAACACCACCCCAGTCTATTTCGCAAGGCGCCGCTGATAATGTCAACAGACGAGTAGAAAGTATTTTCTCAACGTCACTCTTAGAATAATCATAGCGATGATGATGATGATGTTTATCATCATTATCAAGTAATTCAGTAATAGGGCATTGGAATAGTTGCTCTGGAGTAAGAAAAGGAATCTCAATATTAAAGGCAAATTTGCGATCAGAACAGCTAAAATCCTTTTTTCTTCCAGCAAGAGTACGTACTTTCCGTCCGGCGGCATCCCCAACGTAAAAAACAAAACCGGGTAATTCATTACTCAATGTAACGTCTTTTCCTACTGCAGTACTTGAGTGTTCCTGTAATAATTTCCACATCCCCACATTTGGTTTTCGCCATTCATCCTCCTTTGTAGAAACAAAGGCCGCTAAAGGCATTTCTAACACTTTACTCAGTCCTATAATCTTCCGCTTGATAGCATCTGCCTTCTTTTCATTCCAACTCTTTCCACCTATGCCGGACTGGTTACTTAATATGACCACCATAAATCCCGCATCATGTAAATAACGCAAGTGACGCGGCACTGTTGGCAGTAGCCACTTCCAATCAGTGGGATCATCACGTGGGAATACCGCTCCACTGCGGGGCATGATAAGAGTATCATCCAAATCAAAGGCCGCCACCTTAAGAACGAGTTTCTCTTCAGAAACAACAGCCAGTGAATTTCGAACAAGAGGAGCTGATGGTAACAACGCCAACACCGAATTATGAAGAAGATTCCAATCAGAAAAAGAAGGGATTGCAAGAATATTATCTTTAACGGATTTCGGCGAGAGACTCCTGGCACGCTTCATCACTTTAAACTCTCCCCTCTCTCTCTCTCTCTCGTTCTTTCGCAGAAATAAAATAAATAAAAAAAAAAACGAAGGAAAATCAACTACATTGCGTACTCAGATGACTCAAGTAACAAACCCCATCTATCATTTTCTTTCTTACTTTCTCTCTCTCTCAAGAAACCAAAAGAAAAGAAAAAAAAAAAGATGTTAGACGTTGCAATTCATTTAGTTTCTTTCTTTTTTTCTTGTCTTGTTGTTTTCATTCATCCCCTTTGTTTTACTCGAAGTCCATCTTTTTCTCTCTCTCTCTTTCTTTCTTTCTTTCTCCTCTTGCTTCCTGTTATACGTCTTTTTTTTTTTTTTGTTAATGTGAAGCCCTAAGTTCCTGCTGCAACATTTCCATCTTTTTGACTACACCAAAAGTGGCCTTAAACACCTTCTTCAACTCCTCCGAGTCCATTGCCAGAAATACTCTCACGTCAATCTCCTCCCGTTCCACTATGGGTGAGAGTGAGTTCATTCCTCTCTTCTCAAGGTGGCGTTTCAACAGCTGTACACCAGCTATCCCTTCTGTATTACTAGGCGTTGATGTTGAAGAAGAAGAAGATGTTGTTGTTGTTGTTGTTGATGGACGCACATGATCTTTAGGGAGAGCATCGGGGGGAAGTGTAGCGGCACTTTGGGCGAGTGCACGTGCGATTCTACCAGTATAAAATTTATTTGCCCAACTCTTGTAGGCATCTAGTACTACCTCTGATGTCTTCTCTAAGGATGTATTAGTGAAGAGAATCTCTTTCATAATCTTCTCCTCCAACATTAAACTCCACTTATTCATATCTCGCACGGTATCTGTAGATAAACGTCTACCAAGTCGACTTCGCAGTTCTTCTAACTTTTCTGCGGTCTGCTGCAGTCGCCCAAGATAACCATCCGCCCCTCCAGGGAATTCACCATAACAAGTTGTAAGCACACGTTGGGATTCGGGAAACTTCTGCAATACGGTTGCAATCCGTTCACACAATTCCTTCACATGCCACACCTCTAATAAGGGAGATCCGCCTGTTTTCAGCGAGGCAAGAACGTCTGGCAGCAACAACAGAGCGGCGGCATCGGCCTCATGAACTACAAACGGTAGCCAAGGGAAGTGTACACCCGCAGAAGGACCTACAAGGAGTGCATGGAATGCAGGATCATACAAAAACAACCCATAAGATTCAAAGTGTTTTAATTTATTTCGACGTTCCCGCTTCCATCTCTCACGCGTTTGTGAGAGATCACCACTCGCCACAGATAACTTTCGACTTTCACCAAAAAATGAAATAGTTGATCCATCTTCTATTATATGAAGATTAGTTTGTGGTAAATCAGCAAACTCAATCAACTTTGCGGTGAGTTGTTCATCATTCTCACAGAGAGCTTTCCTTATTCCTGCGCAGAAGTCACCATCCGAAAGGAATGCTGCTGTTAACGGGCTACACGCTACTTTTAACTGTGGTAAACGGGCTACTAGTTCCTTTACAATGTGAGCAGCGAAGGGGTTTAACTCTGGAATAACTAAAGTTTGTATACCATCAAAGGGAATCCCCATACCACCACGTTTTAGAGAACTACTCAGGAGATTATCAGCAAAATAGGACGCTTGTGATGCATTCTGTGCATAGGGGAGACCAACAAGAGCACTTTGAGCTTGACGAAACGAAACATCATCTCCTTCTGTAGAAGTAAGCAAATAAGTGCCATTTGTTAACGGCGCCTCACCATCGAGTGAGGCATCAATGAGTAGTGTTGCGTGCCTTCGGCTTTTTTCAAAGTCACACGTTACGTACAAACCCGGTGGTGCATGTCGCAGGTAAGCCGGTGTGCGACGAACAGTGTTAATGAGATTTGGTAACGCCGTGCGGCACACTTGAGTAATCCGCAACATATATATATATATATATATATATATATCAGAATAGATACTATTGTGGTAGTAGAGGATGTATTCGTTTGTGTGTGTATACTCTAGTACGTACACACTTATTTATGTGAGTCTGCGTACGTGTATAGATGTCTGTGACTATGAAGAAGAAGAAGAAGAAACATCAATTTGATATAAAAAAAAAACAAAAAATGAAAGAAAGAATAACTATATTAGTAATGCAACACTATACCAACACACAAACATAGAAAGAGAGAGAGAGAGAGAGGGGCAAAAAGAAAAAAAAAAAACAGACTTTCATCTGCAGACTAGTGTGGGTCTGTGTAATAATGTATGTATTCTTTTTTTTTGACCGCAGGAAGCGAAAAATAGCATGGTATGCAGTAGACGTTACAAAAAGTGGTCAGTGGTACTAGTAACGATGTGATTCATTATTCTCTTTTCCCCTCACACTCCACTCTTTTCATCGTTCACTTGATACACCCCCTCCCACCCCCACCTTTACTCATTTGCGCCATGGTTCTTTAGATGACTTGGCGTAGTACCCGCCCATCACACCAAAGAAAACTCCAAGAACTGCACCGAACGTTGTGCCGCCCTCATTCTTTCCGCCCTCGAAGACCACAAGCGCACCACTCACCGCCGCCGCCGAGAGAGTGGCAGCAGCAATGGTGGAGCTCACTGGGGTCACAATAAGGTGAAAGATGCCAAGGATAGTGACGCTGGTGGAAAGTGCGGCGAAGGACCCCACAACAATCTTATCAGTAAACCGTCGCTTTGACACCTGCAACGGAGTAAAATTCTTAGAGGCCGCTGTAACTAAAGAACGATGACGTAACATCAGAATGCGATTGTCACCTTTTTTTTTGTTTGTTTGTTTCTTCTCTTTAATTTAATTATTATTTGTTTTCCGCCTTCTTTTCTTTTTTTTTTCTTTTTGTTGTTGTTTTTTTTTTTTGTTAGATCTGGCCCTAGTTTTATTCTTCTCTATGAGGAAAAACGCAAAGAGGCGCCTCTAATAAATTCTCAGTCAAAAGTGAAGAATAGAATATATGTTGGGAGGATAAAGAAAACAAAAAAAAAAAGAGAAACAAAAACATGTAGGTGAAAGAACCAAATTTGCCTTTTTACCCTTCTTCTCTTCTTTTTTAAGAAAAAAGAAAATTCACTTTATGCTTCTCCTGACAGCTGAGAATATGTATTACACGAATTCGGAATACTTTCTTCACTTTTTCCTTTGTATTCACTATTCTTTCGTTCTACCGATTGTGTATCCTTTTTCCCCTTTTTTTTCTTTTTTTTTTTTTCCTTTTTCTCTTTAGACGTAGAGAGAAGGGGGAAGAGAGTTTACTTCAATTCAGGCAGTATGAAGTTAAGAGATATCGTTGTGTAGATTTGATTGCCTTCTACACAAAGTGAATACCATTTGTTGTAAAGTGGCAAAGAAGATCTGTAATAGCTTCTTGGTCTAGTACCCTTGCACGTTTTTCAAATACCGGATTTTGAATGACCGACTCCAATAATTCTTTGAACTCTGCAAGACTTTTCACCTCTTTTGCCCCTTCCATCTTTTGGTAACTGCAGTATTTCTCATACAATGTCTGCAATGCGTTCTTTGTACGAAAGATAGATGAGACCTTCTTGTTTTTTCTGTTAAAAATGAATTTAACAAGTCCATCCCATTCTTCAAAGTCAACATCTGGTGGTGGATGTTTTGGATCAAGGCGAATAACACTGGATTCTACCTTTGGTGGAGGATTAAAGCTGTTTTTACTGATTTTCATCAGATGACTGCAGCGTGCCAGTAGCTGGGAGTTAACAGATAGACGGCAGTACGCCTCTGATCCGGGCTGCGCACACACACGAAGAGCAAACTCTCGCTGGAACATCAGCACAGCACACTTAAATGTTGGTTTCTTCAGCAATTTGAAAACAAGAGCAGAGGAAATGGCATAGGGCACATTAGCCACACACTTATCAAAGAAGGGAAATTCATGATCTAAACAGTTTCCACGAATCACCTGTAGTTTCGCCGCGAGTGGAGTATTCTGAAATCGCTTGTTGAGTTCTGCCACCATTCGCGGGTCAACTTCAAAGGCAATAACTCGCTTCGCCGTTTGCAGCAATTTCTCTGTGAGATTCCCCGTTCCAGGGCCAATCTCCAACACAACATCCGTTGGTTTGATCGCCGCCTTCTCAACAATAGCGGCAATTACAAGCGGGTTCTTCAGAATATGCTGCCCAAAACCCTTATTAAAGACCATACCACTCTGACTTCCACCTGTTTTTAATCCAACTTGCTGCTCGCTCTTCTTTGACGCTTTGCGTGTAGACGTCTTGCCGAGTGTTGTCACCTCTGTGGCAAACTTAAGTTTCTTTGACGCAGCGTGCAGCGGGGCCGCACTAATGACGCCCATAGAAACACTACGCGGCTCCTTCGGCATCCTACAAACCCCTATGCGTACTCTAATAATATTGAAGTATATTGAATTTAAAAGAAGAAAAAAAAAGAATAATAAAAAAAAAAAAAAACAAATATACAGTTTTGTATTTGAAAATAAAGAAAAAAAAAAGAGAGAAAGGGAAATAAAAAATAAAAAGAAAAGAAAAATAAGAACTAATATCTAGACATATATACATACACATATATATATATATGCTTTCAAAAAAAAAAAAAAATTCTTTACAACTCTTCGAGGAAAAAAAAAAAAAAAACACTTCTTTTCGAACATCCTGAGAAAAGAAAAAAAAAAAAAAGAGACAAATAAACAGACAGATAGACATAGAGACAGAGAGAGAAGAAAAAGTTTAACACCCACAAAGGAGAGCAAACAGCATAAGAGCTACAAAACCACCCACGCCACACCGTTACGTCCACTTCTATTACTCATATCTGGATGAACAGGAATGACAGCGGTGGAAAAAAAACCTTCTTGGCTATCCGAGTTTATCGATGGAGTTGATGGGTTTACATTAGATGGGGCCTCACAAGGTACTACGGAGGCTTTGCGCGGCGATATGTCAGTTAGGGAACAAGTACCACAGGTACCAAGTGCAGTGAGATTTGCGTCTATACCGATAGAGTTGTTAGTGCTGCTATTTCTATTATTATTGTTGCTGTTAGTGGGATACTTATTTGAGTTTTGTACAGCAGAACTCCAGCAACTTTCCAAAAATGATACTTTCTCCGTAGTGACATCTGGAGAAGTCTCAGGAATAACATAAAACCTTGGGGAATTATGATCATCCACAAACTGTTGCAGAAAAGCGATTGCCTCCCGCGCAGAAAAGCTCATTTTTCAGCTACAGTAATGGAATAAAGATCTTTTTACTGTGTTAGTAGTAAGAAAAGCAGAGACGCACAAGTAATCAACTTCACCTCAGTAACCCCCACCCACCTTAGCTCTTTCGCTCTTTTTTATTATATTTCCATCCAAGCGTTTTTTTTTTTTATTATTCTTATTTTTTCTTTTTATAGTCTCTGCAAATAACATTCTCAAGTGTATTTGTTTGTTTTTTTTTTTTTTTGTTTTTTTTTTGGGTTTTTTTTTTTCTCTTCATCAAAGAAAGGAGAAAAGTCACCGGGTTTAGAGTTCTTTCATATAGTATTCATTGTATTTGCCTCAGACATCTCCTCACCTTTCTTTGCGTGTGTGTGTATGCATGTCATGAGAAATAAAGCACATAAAAATATGTGCGTAGTGTTGATTATAAGAAAGAAAAAAAAAAGAACCAACTTTTCCGTTTAAAGCTTTACACAGTATCATCCAACTTTTCCACGCCTAATCCGTCTGTTTTCACATCTGCAATCTCATCATCAACAATTTCTTCTACAAATGCCGAAGCAGATTCATCCTCTTTTTCCGGTGAAGAAACTTTGTTTGCGACAACACCAGTATTAATTTCGCCACTTAGAGGACTGTGACAAGCAACCCCATTGTAGATATTTTCCTCTGTTTCAGCTACACCATTTGTTTTTCCACTAGATAGCGATGCAGTTGCAGTTGCAGTTACAGTTTGTGGTGGTGGCGGTGATGACGGACGAGTTGGTCTTGGTGTCTTGCATGCGAAGCATTTTGTTGAGGTGGGTTTATTCATATAAGTGCAAATATGACATGACCATGTTGATGGCTTCACCTGCGTTGGCAAATCTTTTGCCGATCGCCTAATTGGACTAATTAATATAATATCCTCTGGACGAGGGTCGATGAAGGTAACTCTCTTGTTCTCCACCTCTATAGATCGCAGGAGACTCCTGCCTGTACACTTCTCTACCGCCTCCAATAAAGTTGTGAGGCTGCGGAGCTCTGGATCATCAGCGAACATGCGTGAGTACTCCAGCACGGTGAGGCGCGCAAGCCGGCGTGTTCGCCGCTGCTCCTCCGTCTCGGCCCTTGCGGCTGCGAGGCGCACGAGCTGCGCGTGGAGGGCGGTGTCGCGGGCCACGGCGCGGTGGAAGTTGTACCCGCCGGCGTCGACGAGGCGCTCGAGGAGGCGGAGCCGCTGCTGGGCGGCAGGCGCCGGGGCGTCCGCGAGGCCGTCGCGAAGGGCCGCGAGAACCACCGCCGGGTGCCGCTCCGCCAGCGCGAGGGCCTCCGCCAGCGGGCCGCCGGCCGCGACGGTCGCAGAGACCCGCAGCCGCAGCCGTGCGTCCGCAACAGTCCGCCGCAGGAACTCCATTGCCCGCCACCGCACAAGCGAGGAGAAACTATTTGTGATGAAAGAAATCGATAAATAGAGAGAGAAAAGCATGATTACGCGGTTACCTAGATAATAGAAGAAAACATTGCATGAGGAGATATATATATATATATATTGTTTGTTTACAGTCCATCGTAGTTGTAAAGGTCGATAAAAATATGGTATTCTCATTTTGTTTTTGTTTTTTACTTTTGGTTTGTTTGGAAAGTCACTCGATTGACGGCATCATGTTGTTCCGCTCGCCGACGTACCAACGCCGTGAAATTTGTGTCCACACTCGTCTCAGGCACCGGTGTGTTCATCAAGTTCCTGTTTTCCACCCAAACGTGCTCGTTCGCTGCATTCCTCTCTAAATCCGACTGCCACTTGGGCGTCAACAGCAAGTCACGGCGAAGGGCATAGTGCTCACGTACAGCATTAACATGTGCCATATCGTACAGACTCCCATGCCGCTGATTATCATAAAAACAATCACGTTTGAATAATTGTTGATTGACAACCTTCACTCGAATTCGCCTCTTTCTTCTGCTGCTGCAATCCATACGCCGGTGGATTCAATGTGTTCAGAGTGGGATTGATATGACTTGCAATACTTACACGGGGAAATGCGGTTCCATCGGTTACAGATGTCTCTTCTTCCCATTCTACTCTCCTGGCATTATTCCCATTGTTGTGACTACATACAAGACCCACAGGGATGATATTGGGTGGAATACCAGAAACCCTTCTTTTTGAAAGGGATTGATCGTCAAAAATAGGTCTCATTAAGCATAAAGCAATTTTCTGCTGCGAGACGTAATGAAAAAAAAGAAAATGTTATTTGCAAAGAAATAAAAATAAAAAATAAAAATAACACACCTGATAGAGAAAGTAAGAGTCTCAAGACATGTACCATTTCCTATCAGCAAAGGGAATAGAAAAGAGTTTAAAGTAGAGTCATCTCAAGTAAGAATGTATTTTTCCCACTCAGATTCTCGTTCTTTTCTTTTCCTTTTTTTCTATTTCATCATTTACTCCCCATCATTGTTTTCCTGTTATAGCGTCTCAGCAAAGGAAAATAAAAACTAAAAATCATTTCTGCCCAAATTGATACTTTGGGAGTGACTCCGCGTAGGGAGCGGTGCGTACACTACAGAGCGGTTGGTCCACTTCTCCATTCAATTTCTGCAACTCTGGATGCAGGTATTCAGTGTAGCGTCGAGTATACAGGTCGTATAGTGTCATTAACAAAGCTGCTGGAATAGCATTCAAAATAGGACGACTGGTGAAAAATCCATCATATATCTTCGAAATACCATGTCTTGATCGTATCTCTGCAATGTAAGAACGATAAGTAATAGGTTGTCCTCGTGTAAATTGATTTCGAAGACGCAATTGATATTTCAGAGACATAAAAGGATATTGCAGTAGTTGACCCAAGAAGGCAGCTAAATGACAATAGAGGAAAAGGACAGAAGTATCATGATAAACACCATCGTAACGAGTTGCATTATATATACCAAACTGAGCAGCAAATTGTACCATTCTACCACATGCTGCTGCCGTAAAACCTTTGTAAATACCGAGTAATACAGAGGGCCTTTCACGTAAGGCTGTCTTCAATACATCCCCAGCGCTCTTAAACTGTTTTGGACCTTCAACTACATCTGCGGTGGCCCGGAGAACATCATATGGGTGCCGCACCGCCGCATATGCCAGACCTGTGAGACCACCAGCAATAAACCCTCTTGCTGTGTTGTTGTTGTTTCTATTTGTTTTTTTGTCACTCTCACTCAAAGAGAGGGCATTACGTAATGTCGTGAAAACGGAAAGAAGAAAAACATACTCTGATGTATTCCAGAGTATAGAGTGACCAGTAAACCAACGGGTACTAAATAGCGTACGAAAAAAGTGTGCACGTTTATCCGATCCGTAGATGCGATTGGACTCACCCGGCACATCTGCTATAAAGTAAAATGATTCTAATTTCGCGATAGGCTGTTTTAAACACGCAGTAACAAAAGAGACTGCCAATATAACAGCTGCGTGTTGCGGTGAAGTGAGTTGTGGCTCTGTGTACCCGCGGACTCGCAGAAGTGGATCTGTGAACTCCCCCGCTGTGCGGTAGCCAAAAGATGTGTGATACCCCGCCGTGCCGCTAGTCGCCTGCATAGCCGATCTCCCACCCCTTTTTTCATTAGTAAAGACCACACATATATACACACAATAAAGAGAAAGTAAGAGTGGGAAGGAAGATTACACAGAGTGAATAATAATAATAATAACCAACAGGTAACGTCTCATACTACCTGACTGTCCCTTTCAATACGATAGGAATCAAATAACATATTCTCACGAAAGTGAGAGGTTTAAAGAATAGTACCACTTGTTAATACTCTCGAACACTAAACAGATATTCTTTTTATCTTTTCTCTTTCTCTCCTTGTACACCCATCAACGGAGTGTGTACAAAGATAGAGAAAGATTACGTCACTTTTTTATTTTGTCATCCCTCATTTTGGACTCATGTGAGAGGAAAGTAAAGAAAAAATCCAAAGAAAAATAAAACTTCGGGAAACAAAGAAGAAGAAAAAAAATAATAATAGATTGATTATAGGAATGACAATCACTACTCATCATCATTATGCACTTCTGCTCCCTTCTTCTGTTTTTTTTTTTTTCAATTTCTTCAATCCCAGTATTTTTTTTAAAGTATTCTCTCATAGTGATTCGCCACCAGTTATAACCACTAATATTATGTGAAATGACTTTTACGATAAATGCTTAATGCCTCCATCATGCGAACTCGCATGTTTATCATTCGTTCCTCAAGCTCCACTAGGGCAAGATCTTTCTCCATGCAAACTCGTTCCTCTTCATCTAGTCGCCTACGAAGTGTGGTAACTTCTTCAGCATAATCTTCAAGAGACTTACGTAATTGAGTCACTAAAGGAGAGGGTGAACTATGCTGAAAATGAGGACTTTCTGAAACGGCCTTTTGCTCTAAAGGACTAGGAAATCCACGAGATAATCCTGATTGTTCATTATCAAATGTACGCAAGTACATCATATCATTTGCGTAAATATCTACAGTATTCTCTCTAAAATGAATAGGAGAAATACTCTGAGTTACTGTAGAGCGTTGTGGCGTGCGACCCGTTGGTGATACTATTAAACAATTGCTGGAGTTACCGTAACTATTGCCTTCAACATTTATATTAGCATTAACGTTCATATCTTGTTTACTGTTATCATGTACACCTGATACTGCAACAGCGAGCCGATAATCTTCTGCGAGTCTATCTGGTAGCGTAGAGTACATTTACTCTCCACAAATACTCTTTGTATATATATAGATGTGTGGGGAATACACCCTTGTTGTTCTTTGTTGATGATGATGATTCCCTGGAGTGAAGAGAGAGAGAGAGAGAGATAGAGAGAGAGACCTTTTCTGCTGCTCCAGAGACAGTTAACAAGGAGACTAGTACAAAAGCAGAGAGAAAAAAGAAAAAGAACAATATATATATGGAAAGAGGATGATAAGAAGGAGGAAAAAAGGAATAAAAGAAAGGGAACGGAAGAAGAGAGTAAGTGACGTTTAACATACATACATACATACATACATACAAGTAAACAGATGTGTGCTTTCACCCCTTTACCCCTCTTTTTCTCTCTCTCTCTCTCTCTAGTCATTCTTTCCTTTCTATTCTGTGGGCATCCACACACTCACAGACACACACACACTTCATCCCATATATATATATATATGATATGAGATATGCAGAAGGGCAGAATGGATAAATATATTGATGGAGCACACATCGTTGTTTGTATGTATATATATATATATATATGTACACGTATCTAAACAAGAAACAAAGTAAACTGTACCTGACACTAATAAAAACTAACATAAAAAGGTGACAGTGTCTCTCACCATATCCAACGTTTATTGGAAAGACAGTGCTTCACAATCTCTTCCTCTCTGGAAGAAAATATTTCTTCAAATAACTCTCTTACATCACGCTCAGCGTTTATGAGTGGACGATCTAAACGTCGTCCGCTTCCAAAGTCGACCCCTCGTTTCATTGTAACAGTCCTAAGAGCCAAGCTTACTTCAGGCTGCTGGGGTTTTTCATTCTGTTCTTCTACTTGTTTATCATCATCTTGCTTTTTTTCTTCTTGTGTTGTTGTTGTTGTTGGTGGTGGTGGTGATGGTGATGGTGATGGAGTTGAGACTGCTTCTGGCTTCTCTAGTCCAAGAATATCGAGAAGTCGAGCAAGTTCTTTTGGCTTCAGCACCACCACAAGCGGCTCGGCGAGTGCCACCATACGAGTTGGCATGCTGTCCGGACTTTCCGATAGTGTGGAGGAGTAAACACTATACCACGCATCTAGTGCCATGGCGGTCAGTTCGTTTTTAATACGTTCTTCTATGTTGTTTTGCGGTTCTTCCCTCTTCCCTGTGTGATGTTTCTGTGGAGTTAAGAGCGGCGGCTGCTGCGGGGCCGTTCCACTGCTGCTCGCTGCGGCCTCGGGGCCCGTCGGGAGTGGCGTGGGGGCGATCAGATACCGCATGGCGTCGTGCAGCGGGTGCGGGGGGCCGCGGCGGGGGGAGTCCCCAGCGCGGGTCTCCGCCTTGGGCGTGAGGGCGAGCCGCTTACACTCACGCACATGTGAAGAGTTGCAGTAATATCCAAATTCGTAGTCGCGTGAGAATTCAAAGAGTTGTTTGTCCATCACCAGCAACCGCTGCTGGCGTTCACGGCGTTTCATACTACGATCCTTCGTGGATGATCCATCGTTTAATATTTCCGTACGCATGGAAAGCATTAAAGGAACACGCAAATTTCGAGGATTTAAACTATCACCAGAAACACGTAGTGAACTGCACCAAAGCAACCATACCCGATTTGCATCATCCACTTTAAAATTTAATACCATTCGAGTGATAAGTTTGCGGTCTGTAAAGTAAACATGATCCACCACTTCACGGCAGATACGCTCTAGTCTGCCTTTGGATTCATCTGCAACAAGAGTAAGTTCACTTAAATTACAATCCCCATCAAATGTGGCTGAACGAACATGAATTGGAACTTGAGCATCATCCAATTTATGCTTACTTGTCCGTTTATACACTACAGTCATAAGAGGAGACCACATCACTTGCAGTTGTGCATTTCTCCTCGTTGTGGTTTCACCTTTAGGAATAACAAACTTTTGTAGAATTCCATCAGGTTTTCGAGTATGACCAAATAGAAATTCACGTAGTGTTTCCGCTGTGAAATATTCCATATATGTAAGAAGAGACTCTTCTGTAGATTCACTACCATCTTGTGGAACACACGTTGTAAGAAATTGTGCCACCACATCACATCCATTCTGTGTTTGACTGAAGTGCTGATAAATAGACTGTGCATCTAGCATCCTACCTGGATGTTTATTGATCTCCTTTGACTCGGCATCATATGTATACCATGCTCGCGGAAAGTTGTGCTCATACACAACGGTATCGGGTAGTCGCACACTCTTCAGCGCACTCTCGCTGCCCTTATTCTTCTTCCAGAGATGCATGTAGAGAAGTGTTCGCAGTCCATCTCCTTCGAGTGCGTGGAACTTCACCCAATCGTTGCTGTACTGCACTTTCGTACCAGAGGGCGATACGTAACCCTGGCGGTATGTTGGCACCCCCGTGTAGGAAGCTCTTCGTTGCATCTCCACCTTTACACGATTTGGACTTCTCTACTCTTGTAGATGGTGCTATTATGTTATTTTCTCTTTTTCTTTTTCGTTTTTTTTTTTTTTTTGTTCTTGCCTGATTTCTATCACTCTATTTTGTATTTTTTTTTTCTTTTTTTTTTGTTGTTTCTAATTCGTTCGATTCTCTACTTCCCCCCTCTCTCTCTTACCTATATACGGCTCTATCATGACACCAGGTATGGTGTTCAGCCCATAGGAATAAAGGAAAAAAAAAAAAGAATAGAGAAACACACATCATTAAATACAAAATTAATAATGAAAACCATAAAAAATAAATAAATACATACATACATACGTATATATACATATATAGATGGAAAAGACCCCGTTAAAAAGGGAGATAAGGTATTGAAACCCTATAATCACACTAACACACACAAATTCACGCACCTCCTAACACACACACACAGAGACATATGTACCAGTGAAAATAATAAGAGAAGTGTGTTTAGTTTTCTTTGTTTTTTTTTTTTTTCGTTTTTTGCGTTTCCATTTTTTCCTCCGCAGCCACGTCGGAGAAACAAAAGAAAAAATGCGTATCAAAAAAAAAAAAAAACAACACAAGCCATACAAAGCGAACACAGAAACGCAGACACACAGAGAGTCAACGATGGTACCACCACAAACACAGAAAAGAAAAAAGTATATAAAAGTATATATATATATATATATTCTGTTCTCTTTCCTTCTTCTATATAATGACTGTACCCCTTCTCCTCTCCTCTCTTCTCTTCTCTTCTCTCTTAGAGTGCTGATGCCATTTCCCCACTACTCGCACTATTCCCACTACCGCCGTTTTCTCCCACGGCTGCTGCTGTTGTAATTGGAAAGAGCGGAGAACTCGCGGCGCCGGTGGAGGCCACAGGCGAGGCGGCAAACGTGTCGCGGCCCTCCGGCACGTACCAACTCGTCTCGACGCCAGTGGCGAGAAGCCGCTCGAGGACTGTGTCGAATGTCCCTTCACTCACCAACTGCTGATATTTGCGGTAGAGACGGAGTGACGTGCGGGCGTCCTCGACGGAGTCGTGCTCATCCTCCTGCACACGCTCGCCCAAGACATGATAGGCAAGGAAACGAAGAGAGAGATATCTCCCGCCGGGTTTGTGAAATAAAATAAGGGTGTCAATCATTTGGTCAGCGGGAACGGCAATATTGCATACACGGAAATCTTGAAGAAGACCATGTCCAACAAAAATAACACCACGATCTACTAAAGCGCGTAATTTTAAATAAGTCGCCTTCAGACTCGTTAGACATTTAGAAGACTTTAGTGGATCTAAATCACCTGGGTAAATACCACTGTATTGTGTTACATAGTCTTCAACCGTCTCTGGTGTGTGTACGTAGTCATCCACAATGACACGTTCATCCCCTAAAGCACTACTAAGCACACAGCTCAATCGTGCTAATGCCATATGTGGTTTTTTCTGCGACTGACCTGGTATCTCTGTTTTAATACACTTACTACTCCAATTAAGCATCACATATTCAGCATCAATCGCTACTAAATCTTTAGGTTTAATATCAAAATGTGATTCTAAGGGAGATTTGAAGCGTTGTGTAAATGGGTTACGTTGAAGTGGTTTTGAGAGAACATCATTTAATAGTAATGGTCCAAGTTTCTCAAACATATTAGGAGCACGTTTACCCTCAAGTGTATCACATGGCATCCGAGGTAAATTCTGAAGTGCATAATATGCTATAACTGTACGATGTGATCGGAGAGCAGGTATTAAAGCATCTAATTCTTGTTCTTCCATTGGTGTAGTTACTCGGTAATCATTCACCAAACTAAATCGATCTCCCATTATACGCTGATGACTCACAAAATTTCCAGTGTCATCCGCATCATCAGAAAGATGAATTATATTGCTACACAAGATATAATTAAATTCATTTTTGGGTTCACGAGTAATACAGAGAGACATTGGTGGTTTCAGTGTTCCACCTTCTGGATTAAGCCGTAATACAATTATAAGTGGTAAACGCTGAATTCCCATACGATCATTAGAAGTCTCAAGTTGTTTAAGAAGATGTTGTAAGCCTTCATTAACCTTTAACGCAGAGGAAGGAACATCCCAGTAAAAGTTTGGCTCTACATGCTCCTTACCAGAAGAAGAAAATACTGTACCAAAAAGAAAGCTAATAGATTTCTCAAAATCTAAACATGGTTCTTTGTGATCCATAAAAGGATAGGCCTTTTCATCTTGAAGAGCTCGATCAATAGCTTCAAGTAAGACATTTTGTGCTGTATGCATTCTTTTTACGGCATCATCTCGTGATTTTATAGGTTCAAAAAGAGATGCCGTTGAACGTACTCTGTACATGGTTCGAATTAAGTTTGAAACCTGTACAATTGGATTAAGACCTGCTGAAGATACCATTAACATATTTGAGAATATAAATGAAATCTCACAAGCTATACAATATTCCCTTGAGCATAAATGGTGAAGAATAACTCTTCGAATAGGATAGTCTGGAGGATGACAAAGGTAAAGTGATTGCAATAAAGCAGTAATCCAACATTCCATAAAACTGTTGTCCAAACCAACGATATCTCTTGGTACTTCATTAAAGCTCCCCCAATCAAATCGTTGGTGAGAACTGTAACAAACTTGATTAGCAGGATCAAGTGGGGCATAGTCCATAGATTCACCACTTCGTAAACCAAAATTATACCGTTTTTGATCTTTCTTTTTCTCTAAAAGAAGATGTTGCACAGCTGATGGATCATCACCAAGTTCAAGATTATATGGAAATGGATTTGGCAACTCAGAGGCAATTTTATCTTTTGCATCTGGTAAGTAAGAATCAGAACGTAAAAATCCCCAACGATTCTGTACAATAGATCGTGAATTCACACAAAGACAACGTGTTGGTGGGGCAACAGATAATATCATATAATTATCTGGAGGCCAATTGGATGCAAGCTCTTCAGGTGGTACAGATTCATCAAAACAGGCGGATGTATCTCCCTCTTTTTTTTCTTCCCAACTCTGTGTAAAGACTGGACTCACTGGTCTTTGCGGCTGTTCAAATCTTGACATCACATAATCTTCACGAGTTGCCGGATGGGCAAGTGCCACAAAGTAACCCTTATCATTACCAATAGCTGCACACATTCCATTTGGTGAAACAGCAACCGATGTGCAGGTATCATCGATAAGTCCATTTGAACTATACACAGGTATGGTTTGGTCTAATTGAACAATGTGAAATCCACGTGATGTTAACACAAATGCACGATCAGCTGAGACTCCAAAGGAATCACGGTAACGGCGTACCTGTGAAATACTATCAGAAGGAATACTTCCAATGGTTATAACAGGTTCATCCATTTTACGTACATCATAAACACGTACACTGCTCGTTATTGATTTTTCCACTACAGCAGCAATAACAGTGTTATCATATGCATCCATTGCAAGAACTCGATGACGTGAAGGAGGTACAGTTCCCACAACCTGAAGCTCTTTAGCATCACGAACAACAATACTACCAGATGTGTTACCTGTGATAATCCATTTCTCTGTTTGCTGTAGAGCTACAACCTTTGACTCATTAAGAGGTACAGTAATACTTAACCCTACTCTTTTATCATCAATTGTCATTCGAGTCAATCCAACATTTCCAGTAAAACTCACAACTCCTGTCTTTCCATTGGCGTGAAAAAGATCAATATAACTCTGTGATTGCGGAGGCAATGGACAACAAAAATAAGACGCTCCTCCTCTCTTATACCCACGAATAACACTGCGATCCGCAATAGTCGCAATCTTTTCACCACTACTACCACCCTGTAGAAAGAAAATACCAGATATTGGTCGAGTCGAAGCTGAGAAAGATGAGTATGGTGTCCATGTAAGTGTATTTGTCTGGCTTTGAGTGGTAAAACTCATCAATCGTCCAAAACTATCACTTACCCATAGTAACTCTAAGTCTGGGTCAAACTCTACGGCGTTGATAATACCAACAGATGCCTGTTCGCTGCCACGCAGCTTCCAATGCACGTTCATCTCTCCTCGTCGTCAACTACTCCGTTTTCCCACTCACTCCACTCGCTTGTGGTGAGAGGAAGAAAAAAGGGAGAAAGAAAGAAAGAAAGAGACAAATAGAGAAAAGAAAAAGAAAGAAAGAAAGAAGAGTGAGTGCGTGAGTGAGTGAGTGAGTGAGATTATATGAAGAGAGGGAGTGGCAGAACAAAGAGGCTCTGAATGTGCAAAAACCCACAGAACTGACCTCTGCACAATATGCACTGACGCCCTATAGGCCCGCCCCCTCGCGAACTCACTCACTCCACACCTCGTCGCTAGTCTCCAGAGCTGCCCAGGGAAGAGAGATTCACAGCAGTGAAATGATAGTCACGGCAGAACGCCGCCACTCTCTCTTCACTTTCTTCCGCTTTTACTATTCTTAAAAAGGTAAAAACGATATAAAACGAAGGAAAAGAAGAAAACAAAAAAAAAGAGTTAAAGAAGAATTAAGAAAAAAATAAAAACAATAACAACCACAAATAATAATAATAATAATAATAATAATAATAATAATAATAATAATAATAATAATGAGAATTATTAATCATATGGATGAAACACTCATACAGAGAACCTGCAAACGAATTAAAGACACATATACACACACAAAAAAAAAAACCAATACTCTGTCAACGTTCCCATCATCCACGTTTACCCAAGAGGATCAAATACAATTTCACCGTTAACTTGATTTCCACTTGTTGCTAATGCAGACGCTAGTACGTGGAAACATGGGAATTTGTGTACAAGTCTAACTTTCGCCACAGTATCAAGGGATCGAACTCGTTGCAAGTCCACTATTGGGTCACCTGTGTACCCGTGTCGAAGAAGAGTTTTTCGCAAATCTAACAATTCAAGTAGTATATGCATTTGAGTAGTGGCATCCCGAAGCTCCGTTCTTACAGACGCAACCTGAGTACAGAGATCGGCAGTCTGTTCTATCATATCTGTTGACATTGTAGGTTGTTGTAAACGTTCCAATACGATTTTTCGTAGGTCTGCTACTTCCCGTTTAATATCCATACTCTTGGAATCTAATATTAACTCAGAACTAGAAGTATACTGTTGTTTTGAGATATTATCTCGAATTTCGTTAATGGCAGATGACGTGCGTTTAATCGTATCATGAAGAATATCTGCAAAGTTGTATGATACCGCTGATAACTCTTGCATATATTCCTTCTTTACAGCTTTTATTGTGTTGACCATATCATCAATGCTTCGCTGTTGACGGGCAAGTACACCCAATATCTCTCCAAGAGCCGTGGTGAGAAGTACAACAGAGGATGGTGACTCCGAAAAAGCATGAAGCAACTGCTGGGCGCTAGAAATGTGTCTGTGTTCTCCTGAAAACTCACTGAAATGCATGTCCAGCAATGACATTTTTTTTTTTATTTATTTTCTTTTTAAAGAAGAAAGAAAAACAATTTACTTTCTCTCTTTCTCTTTCTTCTCAGACTTCTAAGGTGGTGGAAAAAGTGAATAATAGATATATTCGTTAACGTTAACCGTACTCCTATAGACCTCCACTTAGACTATGCAGCAAGACGAAGAGGAAAAGATGTTATGCATCTTCGCAGGATAACATCTATATCACCAGGTCAGAAGAGATAGTCATTATCTCACATGATGGAGATACTCTTAACCAGGGGGGGGAAAAAAAATGGTGTAGTTGACAATGAAAAAAAGTATGTGAAGACACCGTAAAGAGGAAATTGAATTCGCTGCGAAAAAGAAAAATAATAATTATTTAATAATCAAGCAAATTCATTCCTTTTTTTTCCCTTTCGTTTTTTCTTTCTTTTATTCCTTTTTTTTTTTTTGTTTCTCTACTTGCTTTACACTTCACTTCCCTTCCCTTCCCTTCAATTTTCAATCTCACTGTCTCTCCTTTTTTTCTTTTTCTTTTTTTTTCCCTTTCCTTTTTTTTTTTTTCTCTTTATTCAAGTTCCTCAATCTGCAGTAGCTGTAGCAGCCTCTGTTGTTGTTGTTGTTGTTGTTTTTTTGCGCCTTTGTACCTTACGTGGTGCTTGTGGTGTTGCCTCCACTGGTTTCGCCTCCTCCTTCGATACAACACTCTGTTTGGGTGAGGAATCAAACGTGCGAACAGGCGCACGTGGATCTTTTTTGTGGTGTTTTACGGCATGTCGATGTAAATCCTCATGACTAAGAAAACAACGATCACATGTAACGCACCTTGCGTGTGTTTGTAGTCCAACATCTGTCAAATGAATAGTTTTGTGTTGTTGTGTAATGTGTTCTTCTAGTGAGTAGACATCCGCAAAGACGCGCTTACACGCAGGACAGGGATGAGCCTGTGTGGAGAGTCCATGTTTGCTCAACATATGTCCGTATAGACCTTTAGGAGATGAGAAGCCTTTTTCACAATCGTGGCACCACCAACAATTACTCATAGATACACGACCTTGTCCTGTTGTTGTATCTACTTGATCGGCATGTTTACTCTTAAAGTGTCCATCAAGAGCAGAGGCAGAGGCGAAGGCTTTCTTGCACACTTTACATACAAATGATGGGGCTTCTTTCTGCATTCGAATAAGACGATCTACGTGATAGGCCGCATCCTCAGCAGGGTGTTTAAAGCGGATATGTGAAAAGAGTGCCGACGGTATCGTATACACCTTTGAAGAAGATGGACACAAATCACAAATAACATGTATACGTTGATCAGCACCCTTTGTTGCCTCTTTTGCTGAAAATTGTGCAACATCCGCAATGGCCGCTTGGTCTACATCCGCCGCACCCACAGCCGTACCATCTGGGTGACGAGTCTCCAAATGCTGCAGTAAGTCTAATTCACTCTGGAATGTTTTGCCGCACAATTCGCATGGAAATTCTGTGTCTGTAAAGACCAATTCTTTCATTGCGGTAGCCGATACAGTACTATTAATAATATTAGTAGCAGTAGTAGTAGTAGTAGTAGTAGTATTCGTAACGCTAGATGATACGGTTGTTGTTGATCGCGGCGGCGGTGGTGGAGGTATTGGTCTGTCCAAGTTGCGGGGCACAGAGATGCCTACTTGCCGCGGTGCGCCGACTGGAAGCGGACACTTCTCTGCAACGACTTCCACGCCTGCGAGGCGCCGCGTGGGCCGCATTTCATCTCGCGTGTTGTTTGTTTCGTCCTGCGGGCCGCGCGGCAGCAGCGGGACGTGTTGCTCGACGTCCTCCAAGTCGATCTCTGCATGCACGTCGGCAACGTGGCGGAGAAACTTGTCGCGTGTGGGGTACACCTCGCTCCTGCGATCACACCAGTTGCATATATATCCGGTGGGCAGAACGGTGGGGAGGAAGTCCAGCACGCGGCGGCCGGAGGTGGTGAGTTCGATCTTCTTCAGCGGCACGCCGATGACTTTCTCGTAGAGGGCGAGCCGCTCGCTGCATATCTTCCGGCAGTGCGATTGGCTCAGCTCGCGGTGGGCGGTGGTGAGGTGCGTGAGCATGTCGCACATGTGCGTGATGCGGCCGCAGATCGGGCACGGCGCGTAGGCGAGATCCTCGTGCGTCTGCGAGCGCGGCGCGGCGAACTGCACGGACGGAATCCGCAGAGACGCGCAACAGCGGCGCGGCATCCACCGCAGGCGGGGCGGCGGGAGGGAAAACAACACAAGACGCCGCATAGGACTAACACAGATATATCTACAGATAATAATAATAACCACAAATATATATATATATACTTAGATGTGAAAAAGAAAGAGAAAAAAAAGAGGGGAGGGAAAGGGAGGAGAAAAAGAAGACACGAGTCCCTTTTGGCTTAACTACAAGCCAATGAATCTCCTCCACATTAGTTGAGATGAATAAAATATAGAAAGAAAGAAAGAAAGAAAGAAAGAAAAAAGCGTAGGGGATGGTTACAAGAAAATACAAAACATAAGAAAACACAGAGACACATACGGAGATTAATATAGAGAAGAAATAAAATACAATATAATATATATAGGTATATATGCAAAAAGAAAACAACACTTGAAACTCTTTATTACCCACCCCACTGTTTTTTTCTTCTTCGTTTGATCAAGATGCTATCGCAGATATACCAAACGAAAAAGAAAAAAAAGCGCAAAAATAAGATATTATCAGATCCGGGATTCTTTCATCCAGCCATTCATAATAGACACACATACACACACACGCAAAAATAGAGAAATAGAGGAAGAAAGAAAAGCAAGAATTTAAATAATAATAATAATAATAATAATAATAATAATAATAATAATAATAATAATAATAATAATATCGGCAACAAAGAAAAGGAGAGAAAGAGATCCATACACAAGGAGAGGTATACAGAGACACAAAAAACAATCTGTTATCGCTCAGAAGCATCATCATCACTAGGCCACTCTACTAACATACTTGGAGTCGCGCTTGGCATCTCACCATCATTTATGAAAAACAGTTGTTCCATGGAGCGTTTCCTCACATCCTCCACACGACCGCGCAGTTCCTGCCATTGGGAAGCCGAATCCAAAAAAAAACCAAAAAAGAATGATGTATCAACAGAGTCCCACCGTACAGATCTCACTAGACTTGGTGTTGCCATCACAACTCCCGCATCATTCGCATCACACGAAACTAGAGCCTTCTGAGTCATGCAATGCGGATCAAGATACAAGAGACGTTGACCCCAGCTTCCGATAACGTAATAACTACGATTGGGCACACCTCCCACCACGCCAATACACGAAGAAGAATGAAGAATATGTTCCAATGCGAAAAACATCATTTGTGTCATCAGTCGAGATGCCCCACACCGCAATGGAGTTAAAATCAATACAGCTCCTTTTTCCTCCAACTGTGATTCCACTTCCTTAGCAGATATAGATCCATTGGAGCTAATCACAACACTCATAGGACGAGACAAAATTCGTCGGTCAAGTGCTTCATTAACACAACATCGAATTGCCTCACAACCTTTACTAGGTGACCAATACTTTGGACTAAATGTATCTGAACTCTTTAACGTCGCCTGTACCATACTATGCAGTGAAAAGGGGGCTTTCTCTACAGAATCAATATCTCGAAAGTACTCCAATTTGAAATCACTTGCTGAATAGCGGCTTAATGCTTGGGCGAGTAGCATCTGTGAGGAGCGTGCCAGACAACCCCAACCTTTATCAGAAGTAACATTAGATCCCGGGAGTGGATCAAAGTCTGAGCGATATGTTAAGAGAAAGAAACCATTACGCAACAGATCGCTAAGCTCACTCTCACTGTTTACAAGGCGTCCAAGTATTTGACACGGGTATCCCACAGCAGTATTTTGACTGCTACAGCCCCCTTCCAGCACAGAGCGTAAATAGTGCATTTGTCTTCGTTTTTTTCTTATTTTTTTTTTTCTTTTTCCTTTTTCCTTTTTTTTTTGTTTTTTTTTTTTTTTTTTTTTTGCTATTATTTATAAACACAGACACTCAAACAGTGGCACCCAAATAAACTGGAGGATATACACGTTTCAGATAGTTCTTTTGAACCTCAATTACTAAAACTGTGAGAACCAAAGAGGAACTCTGACACTGGGACCACACACACCCAAATGTGAAGAGGAAAAGAGAAAAACAAAAGAAAAAACAAGAAATAAAGGAGAGAAAGAAATATATAAATTTTAATACAGCAAAGAACATAAAGATAAGAAAAAGAAATAAAAAAAAAAAAAAAAAAAAAAAGAAAAAAAAAAAAAAAAAAAACAAGCAATAACAACACAACACATCACAACACAAAACACACACACACACACACTAATGGATATATATAATTTGTACAACTGCAACACGCACGGACAAACACGATTGCCACAGATATGGTTTTCTCCCCTTTGCAAAAGGAACGGCGCTCAAAGTTGTATTCTTCTCATCTTCTTCTTGTTGTTAACTATTTGGATCAAACAAAAACTCCATCTGATGGCTGTGACGAGGGAAGAAGTGTCCTGTTAGTCTTGATCCAGTTCGATGTGTATTTACGTACGAAGTGTGCCATCGCCGCGTGGGGACGCGGATGTCTCTACCGAGGGCGCAGGGCACACACCACGCCTTTCCATCTTTGGAGTAAAACTTATTATGCATCAGACGATACTTACAACGCCAACACTTGAAGCAGTGAAAGTGAAAAAAGTACCCCTGCTTTGTCGGAACAGTGGCATTACCCGCTGGGATCCACACAAAGCTATTCATGTCACTATCATCAATGGGCTTTTCACAGTTAAAGCACGCCGTGTTTGGTGGGACCAGCATAGGCCGGTCCACATCCTCATTGTAGGCGGGGAAGTGCGGCCGGGATTTGCACTCGTCGTGCGGCATTGCGGTGAGATGGCGGGCCTTTGACTGCGTCCACCAGCGCCTACTGTGTTGGGTGCGCACCTTGTGGGCCTGCGTGGGCTTGCCGTGCATTGCCCGCACTGCGGCGGTGAGCAGCGGCGGGGCCACGCGGAGATGCCGGCGCAGCATTGATGGGGAGTTTCTAGAGATAACGCCTAATGGGTATAGGGGCAGACTGAGAGAAGGAAAGATATATATATATATATATATATATAGGAATAGTAATAGTATTACAAATATGTGAAATGGGGATGCATCATGAGAAGTAAAAGAAAAAATAATAATAATAATAATAATAATACCGTATAGGGTCAAAAGAGAGAAAAGAATAAGAAGATTAAACTTGTTTCATTGTAATTGCCTTTGTTACGAATTCCCTCCACAGAAATACCACCAAGAGACCCCAATAAATAAATAAATAAATAAATAAATAAATAATAAAGAAGACCATACCAATAAATTATGTTTGGTTGTGAAGAATATGTAAAAAAAAAAAAAATAATAATAATAAAGTAGGGAGGGAGAATGCAGACATAATGTGAAGAAAATATAATTTACTCACACATATTAAAGAAAGAAAGATGAATCTATCCTGTTCACCCATTGGAAGTGGAGGTAATAAATTCCTTCTTCTTCTTATAACCATCCCGTAAAGCGGAGTAACTGTAAAGTAGAGCTGTTAGTAATGCAATAAGAAAAAAAATTATGGAGAAAATGATGATAGACAGATTACTGTTAAAAAATATGAGTCCCTCACTTCTTCCATCCACACAAGAATCTATCGTAAAGATTAATGGTGTACTCGGGGAAAACGCCTTGATACCACTTACGACTGTAAGATTTAATGTGCAACTACGACCTTCTTGAACAGGTAATAAAACACCATTATCAAGTGATAGTACCCGAGATACATTCCAGTTACTATCACATTGAACAAAGGCATGTATAAACGTTTGGTTTAGAGATTCACGAAGAGTATTTAATTGTTCATCCTTTAACTCAACAAGTTGTAAGGTGTCCATGGCATTAGGCTGTAATAAACTGTATCCTGTCACTTGTAACCATATAGAGTACTGATCCTTCGCAAGAGTGGTAGAGACGTTAACATTAAGATTATTGGATTCAAGCGGTGGGGCACGAAAGTTAAATGTGAAGTGTTGTTTAGACTTTGGACTTTCGAGAAAAGGATACATCTGTACAGAGCCGCTGATAGTACACATCTCACCATGAAAACCCAATGAATCCTTTAACAATACTTCTACAATAGAGTCATCGGGGGAATTACGAATGGTGAAGGAATTAAATCCTGGAGTACAGTCCACAGATGCCACCGCTTTAGGACGCAATACATTCACCGCATCTGTTGGTCGAGTGTATTCATTCACAATAAAATGAACCAGTGGTATAGGAGATGTCGAGTTTGTGAGTGGTAGAAAGATATTATTTGTATTCATCATCAGAATAGTCACTGGAGCCCCATACCCGATGGAACGCGGAATACACTCCTTCTGATTATATCTCATATGCCGAGTGGAGAGGCACTGACAAAAGGCATCCTCATCTTTAGACATTTCATCCGGCAATAAAGCATAACTCCCCACTGGACAGGGAAAACATCCCCCTTCATCACGATCTCGCTGGGAATAGACTCGACAAGTACGACCAGGCAAGAAATAATTATTACGGGATTCCTGTTGAAGTTTATTCGTCAATCGAGCAAGATCCATCATGGAGGTCGCGGTCGTAAAGATAGCCGCTGCAAAACTTGTATTGGCAGGAGCCGCCATTAAAGATCTATTCGCAGGCAACTGCAAGAGTGAAAGAGGACGGTTCCGTAATAAAAGTTCTTTCATCTCTCCAGGAAGATATTCAAAGTAAAGTGGAAGTTGATTGGAAGAAATACGTCCAAGAAATTCCACCTGCGATTTATACGCCGCCTTCCATCCACCCATTGTTATCTGGTATTGTGTAGAAGTGTCTGCACAGTTCCCCATAAGAAATTCCTTCACTCCACGATGAGGAATTGGTGTACCAAGTATATCGTCATTTACAAAAAACGCAACTTCTTCTAATATTGGATCCCAAGATAAGGTTAAGTTTAACTCAACTTCTTTACTCATCCCTGTACAAGTGGAGCATCTCTCATACAGTGTCCAGTTCGCACTAAAAAAGAGGTCTGAGGAAAAGGAAGCATTCCAGGCCAATTGCATTTTAATAGCTGATACGGACGATATTAATAAGGTGGGATCAACGTAAGAGATAAGATACCATGACCAACCATTTGGTATAATAGAAACCAGTTCATAGGCAATAGATGTAATACGATGTAAATAGGCTTCACCATAGTTTTCTTCATGATGTTGGCGTATTGTATCAACTGAGAGAACTGTTGAAAAACGTATTGAAAATCCATTTGTATTGGATCCACACCACTGTAATGGAGATGGAAGTTGAGAGATTTTTTCTGAAATAACACGTCGACGTAATACATATGAACAACTCTCTGGAATATTTGGTGCCCCACTTCCAACAAAAGAATGATATGGTAACAAGAGAGGTCCAATAAGTGTATTTGGTACAATACAGTTAGCCAATACTTCATTATTCATATAATATCCCGGAACAAAATCACACATTCCATTTAGTATAAACATATATGGATCAATACAGTGATAATGACAACTTGCAGGGGAAGAAGGTCTCAGCCCTGTTGGCACGTAATCGGTACCACTTGGCTTGTTAGCGCAGCTGTGAACCACTCCATCTCCTGGACAGTAAATAAAAAGATTTTTCTTATTAACACAATCCCTACAGTAGAAATTATCCTCTACAAGTGCAAAAGTTCCCACTGGGCACTGTTGAGTCCCATTGGATAAATGTTTATCCCCTACACTCCCCACAACTCCTGTAGGGAATGATGGAATTTGATCTTCACGGAGTGGAATGTCAATAAGGCCCGTCTGAATTGCTGAGTTCCGCGTCTGCACGGTATCAAATCGTATTGGTTTACTGGATGGCCATGCAAAGAGATACTCCATACGCTGTGCATTACTTGTGCTTACTACTATAGTAGTAGTAGTAGCAGTAGTAGAAGTAGAAGAAGAAGAATTATGATACATGAGAAAATTCCATCTTGTTTCCATTACATCTTCTGTAAAACAACTGGCAACGGATGGAATGGTTGGAGTATCTTCGAGGAAAATACCACCAAGACATTTCCAGTACGATGGATTTGCAATACTCCGGAGTTGATTCCATTCCTCTTTCACCACTTGTTGTAAGTATCTCAAGTTTCTATCTACAGTCGTATTATCCACAGTTTCTAAAATCCCTAATGTTCCCGTATTCTGCAGATCATCCTTCATTTGCAAGAAATTTAAATCCTCCATAAAAATAGCGGCAATAGCAAATGAGGCAGTGGCACAAAAAGCACGTTCCATTAATAAAACTTCTTCTTCTCTCTTATCTTTCTTTTCAGATACAAATAGAGTAGATATACTATGGCGAACCAAGTCCACAATATCCTCCACGGTAACTTTTTGTGGTTTCAACAGCCATTGAGGTAGTACATACACTGCAGAACACGCTGAACTAGTCGTTGTGTTTAACCACGACTGTAAAAGTTTCCACTTATCATCCACCACCACACGATGTTTCCATAATAACGCATCCACTTGTTTCTTCATATTAAACACAACTTCTTCATATTCTGAAGAAGAAAGTTCAGCCTTATTTTTATCCAGATGTAACTTTGCTTGCCGCATATCAATTTCAAAACCTGCAGATTGTGCTATCATTTCCCGCATATTAGCCCGTTGTGGAAGATAACGAGTAATGTAGATTGCCAACATCTCCACTGCTGTGGGTGCGGGAGTGAAGAATAACGATTCCCGTTCCCCGCGAAGGCAATCATCTGCAGTGGCGTTAAGAAACGCAAAGCAGGGTGGTTGATGTTGTGTAGATCTATCTTTATTGTGTACATAACAACCCTGTAAGGCATCCAATACGGCAATGGGCTCCAGTTCTCCATTCTCCGGACTGTTGGAATCTCTCTTCTCATAATTACTTATCTTGTAGAGAAGACCAAACTGCATATCAAAGTCCGCAAATGTTATTGGATGTAATGACTCTTGGCGTGGGAGTACACAAACAGATGTGGACTTGCCGTTTCTCATCATTGTGTAGACTGTGCCGCCCACTCCGCGGTGTGGGGCCATCGCGAGATCCAACCACAACATTGTGTCTATCCCAACAGGGGGCGGCTCAGCAGAGGCACTTGTTGTGATGAACACAATGTGAAGAAAGGCCAGCACACAGAGTAACATCTTCAATGGCCTTTGTAGATATAAATGTGTACAACAGTGGAGAAAAAAAAAGAAAAAAAAAAGAAAAAAAAAGAAAGAATAGGAGGATTTAAAGGAAAAAGAATATATATATATATATATATATATATATATATGACAATACAGAAGAATAAGAAGAAAGGAAAAGAAAGAAAAAAGGGGTTAAAGTGGTTTCATGTATTACCCCACCACCCCTCCCATATATTTGTTATGTCCTGTGCGCTTGAGAAGGGTTATATATACATACGTATATATATATTTTTTTATTTGATCTGTGATATAGCTCATTGAATTCACAGGTACTCCCCACGCAAAAGACGACGATCTCGCATGGGGATCTGCTCGGTAATATCTACACCATTCTCATCCAGAAGACACTCATCCATCAACAACATATCTTCATACGGTAAACCAAATGAATTCCAATAGTGATGGTTCAGGCGATCTGCGTCCACATCCTGCATATCAAAATAAGTACTTGTCAACTCATCATTGTTGCTATCGTGTCGATTATTGCGTGTACCGCGAAGAGACGTGAAAAGCGTTACACATCCTGCGGTCACATGACGATCTAATAACGCCGAACTCAAACATGATACGCGTCTTATCATTCTCTACTGTTTTGTTTTTGTTTTGTTTTCTCTTCTCTTTCTGTTCGACCGTATAGCCTCTATTTTGTGTTTATCTCTTATCCCCTTTTCAGTTTCTCTTTTTGTTTACTTTTTTTTTTTTTCTTTCCGTTTAAACAAAAACAGATCCCGCTGCCTGTTCGTACGGTCCTGCTCGCCCTCCACACACACTTATTGCAGCCTGCGTCTCTTTGCTGCGGCAGTGCCACGAGATGGACGTTGCTTTATTTACAAGAAAAGAAAAAAAAAACAAATAAAACAAGAGAGAAATGGGTTTAATATTAAGAAACAGAGAGTTAAAGAAGAAAAAAAGAGAGAGAGGAAGAGAGGAAGTACAAAAAAAAAGGGGTATGAAAACAAAAACAAAAAAGCAAAGAAAAACACTTAATACACAAATGAAAGAAATAGATATACATATATATACATATATGTATATATATAAAGGAGAACATACCTGTTTCACTTTCTCAATGAGTAGGAGAAGAAGAGAAAAAAAAAAAAAGAGTTCCAGAGGGTTTACCCTTTCAGTATTCACATTTTTACATAATTTTTTTTTTTTTTTACAAATTTCATGAACATTGCGTCCATGATGATCCAAACATGCGACGTATTTCTGTTCGGCGAGTCGTAACAGAAGAACAAGTGGCTTCAAGGAAATTGGCGGCAACATCTTCAGGATTAAGTGGACGTTTGGGTTCACGCAATGGGGGAAATACACTCTGTGTGAATGGACTCATCTCAGCACTGTGATTTCCACCACTCGTCTCATCTAAAGCCGCCAAATGTCCTTCTGCCGGTAAAGCAACGGCCGCCAAACACTCCGCCGTGTGCCGCTGGTGTGGAGGCACTTGATTGAGCACCCAATCCAATGTACGCAGTGGCAGACTGGGGAAGTAGACTCCCAGCAGTGGATACACCTGTGAGATGAGATCCTTAATAAAGAGTCGTGCCAAACCCCCGTACGTGGTTCGCCAAAAAATAGCAAGTTCTGTAGAATAAGGCAAGTAGACATCACGGCATGCGTTTATAGAATTATTAGTTCGCAGTGAACCTCCTGCTTTTGTTGATCGCCTTCTCGATGAGGAGACGGTTGTTGTTGTTGCTGTTGTTGATGATGTTTTGCGACCCGAATTGCGTTCTAGTGTAAATGGTTCTAATGGTGGTAATCCCGTTATTTTGGCAACCACGCAGTTGTAGTGTACATCCCAGAGATACACATCGGCATCGCAAAAGAGTAGAAACATAGACAAATCCCCAAGTGGAATCAATGCGCGTAGATCTCTCACATCCCGCAGATAGTGTGTTGTCGCCCAATTGGTAAATGCTGCCTTTGGAACACCACTAGCATGCGCTAATATGATAGAACCTCCACCTATTAGTGTGGCCACAACAGTCTGAACAGCAGTTGAGCGACATCCAATTGGAAATGGAAAAAGCGAATGGAGTCGCATGGACTTTCCGTAAGGTGGCAACATGGAGAGTACAGATGTGATACCCCGTCCATCCATTAAATACACTTTACCATTACTGCATCCCACTGCCACCACTTCACTATCTGCAGAGGCTATAGAGGCTGTCACAATATTATCTGGTAGCAAACATTTTTGAATAGCTTTACCGAATTGGAATTGATCTTCAAATGATGTGGATAACCCTATTTTGCTATCTAATTCTTTCTTTTTTAAACCAGCTGTTTCGGGTCTACCGCGTCCTATAGATTTTCGTCTGGTGCCAGGACTTCCAATAGGGTGTTCAGAAAGAGAAGCAGATGAAATACCTGATAACTTCTTTGAAGTAGAAGCACCAATTAAGAGTTTAAGTTCATCAGAGGTGCCTGGTCGTATTCTATCACTTTTACTGATTATACTCAAAGAGCAACGTGTATAGCTATTACCATCTAACCACACCAAAAGAGAGATTGGGTAACGACGAGAGTACATTGCACTACATGAAGTCTGCGATGCTGCTGACATGAAAACGGTATGCAAATGTCCTTGGGCGGTTTCAGGAATAAAAAACATTTTTCCTCGTCTATTACTGGTGTGAGATCCCTCCTCCAATAAACGATTCGCAATTCCTAGTTGGAATCGTTCCAGTTCATCATCTTGTGCAGCACGTGGTACCTCAAGTGGTGGCAGTTGCGCGATATTAATAAGTGCATCATTATTAAATCCCACTGTAAGGTATGATAAACATGGTGATAGTTGCAAAGAACTCAAAGAAGCACCTGATGCCCACTCTGATAGATTTAATTCCACTACCCGCTGCCGTACTTTTCGCCTTGATGCCAATCCATAGTAGTTGTCCTTGAGAATCGACACTAAACAGACACAGACTACTTTACTGTACCCAACCGCCACCGCCCACTGCGTCTCACTCTGCGGTGTGCAACTGAGAGTCACAACTTGTCCATATTGAAAACCATCAAGAATGGGGACTTCCACGGTTTCACACACACCATTAGTGTGGGTACCCTGAGTTAGTGTGACCCGACCATCTGAGAAACCACACAAGGTGATGGAATAGTCGATAGAAACGGCGGTAAGAAACCTTCGGTTGGATGAACTTCGTCTTGTATTTGTGCTTTCATATTGGTAACTATAAAGTGCATTGCGCTCCACCTCAACTGCAGATACAACCACAGATGGTGGGGCATCTGCTGCAATGGTTGTACCAAACGTTTCGGTGTTCTTCTCGCCTTTGGATTGGCGAGAGGCCGTTGCCTCATCTAATGCGTCATTCACACATCGCATAACAATCTTTGAAAAGAAACGGAATGGCGGTATAACATCATCATATAGATACTGCATTAACTGAATGAGTTATTGGCTTCCCTTTCTGTGGCTTTATGGATATTGTTTTTATTTATTTTGTTGTTGTTGTTATTTCAGGTTGCAAGAAATGAAAACAAGAATAATAATATTAATAGAATAGCAGTAATAATGGGAGTACAAAAAACCAGATAAATATTATTTTGCATACTTATTAATCTTCACATATTACACATCCTCTTCTCATGATGATGCTACTCTTTGTGGTGTTACTATCATGTCAGTAAACTATACCTCCTTTTTTCCCCCTTCTTCTTCTTTCTATTTCGTTCCTTCATAAACTCATGGGAAAGAAAGAGAAAAAACTTTTACAACACACGCACACATATATATATATAAAGACAGAAACAACTGTTTTTTTTTTTTTTTTTCTTGTACTATCACTGTAATTTTATGCCGTACGTTTTACTTCACTTAGGAGTCGCTATCTGTGCTGTCAAACAGCTTTGATTTTGGTGGTGGTAAAGGTCTAGTAGAAATGTTTTTTCGTACTAATGCCACCGGTTTTGTATCTTCTTCACTCTCGCTGGAAGATTCAAAAAGATTAGATTTCTTTGTGGATGGTTTTGGACGCGGTGGTGGGGCCTTTACGGGTTGTATGGGACCAATCACGTCGCTACTGTCTTCACTCGTGTTATCATTACCGTTATTGCTCCTCAACGACACAATCTGTTCACTCTGTTCCTGTTTTTTCTCTTTATCTTTTTCTTCTTGTTGTTGTGGTTGTTTATCTTGCTGCTCTGGTGATGATGATGATGATGCGATATCTGCACTAACTGGAGTTGCGGTCTTCTTCACTGAGAGAGAAGGAATATTCAACGTGTTACGATCTATCTCTTCTTTTTCTTCTTTAGTATCTACTGGTGGTGCCACTACGGGTCGTTCTGAGATGTACTCATTCGTGATGACCTTAAAAGAGTCCTGCTCTTCCGCAATAATATTCTCCCGGGACTCCAAACATAAATTCATGAGATCGCCTTGTTGTTTCACCACCGCTGCCGCAACAGCAGCCGCACGCTCCAGCGCCGTCATGCCGGCATTATAATCAAAGAGTAAACCTGTGTACTCTGCAAGCTGATCAGCGTCAATGGTAGCCCTCGCACCTTCTTCAGATTCCATAATAGCATCCTGATCTGCCGCATTCACATCAGCAAATGCTTCCTTCATGAGACGACGGAAATCATCCGCTTCTTCTGCTTCTACAGCAGCGAGAGCTGCGATGCACTCATTACGCAATTGTTCTCTTGCCTGTAGTTCAGCCTGACTCCACAGAGTGAGTTGCGCCATTAGTTCAGTGTACTCTTCTAGTAGTGCAGTAAAACCAGCCTCTGCTTCAGAGAGAAGTTTACACCGTTGATCCATCTGATTTTTAAAGAAATTTGATAGGGACTCAAAAAACTTTTCCATCTGCTGAACAATTTCAAATCGTTCACGTGTTTCAGCAACATTGAGTTCATAGTGTGCCGCACCATCTCGATTTAACCATAAATCTCTTACAATCTGTACGGTAGCTTGATGTTCCGCCATCAGTGGTTCTACCCAAGCACGATACAAAGACTCCATACTGTTACTGTAGAGAGATAGCATCTCTTCTTCGATCCAACCAATCCGCCGCAGCCTCACTGCCTGAGTCTCCTCTGCAAGTGTTTTCTCTTCAAAGCTAAAGTCAAGCTTCCGTCGTTCCTTAAGGGCATCCAGGAGTTTTAACAGATCCTCTGGCTTTACGGGCATTCGTAGTCTACGCACAGCATCTGTGAAAGCTACCATAATACTATCCTGTGCACATCGAACTTTTGTTCGTGTATTACCAAGCTGAAACTCAAGTCGTACTCGCTTGCGTGTTTCCTCATACATATCCTTCTTGAGTGATGCTACCTTTGTACCGAGTATACGATTGTGTGTCATAGCGTTCTCCGTAACGCGACGCAAATCGGTTTTGCATGCATCAAGTTCCGTTAGGGCACGTTGTACGTCTAAGCGGAGTTCATCCAACTGTGCCGCAACGTCTACTTGTGCTTCTTGTCTGCCAATTTCACGTCCGGCAGCACGTCCACGTGCGAAATTCTCTTCCGCTACACGTGCACGATCTGCGCGAAAGGCGTCTTCACGTCCCTGTAGTTCTACCACAATCTCATCTCGGAGCTGATGTTGTTCGAATCCACGCCTTTGTCTTTCATCTTCCATCAACTGTGCGTGCTGTGTGCGCTGCGCCTCTGCGGTCCGTCGGAGATCATTCAACTGCGCAGCCCGCACGTGTGCCTCTTCGGTGGCGGCGGCGATCGCATCCCGCAGGGCGTCTGCCTTCGCGCCGAGTGCCGTTCGCCGCTGCCGCGCGGCCGCGAGGGCCTCCCGCACCTCCGCGTTGCGGTGGGCGATCGCGTCGGCCTGCAGGCGGCGGGCGTCGGCGTTTGTCCGCACGGCCCGCATTTCGTCGTCGGCGGCGGCGAGAAGTTTCTTGACGGTTTGGAGGTGCCGGGCGATGTCGTCCCGCTCCGCCGCGGCCGCCCGCAGCGCCTCCTGCAGCCGCAGAAGTTGACGGTCGCCGGCGAGTCGCGCCTCCGACGCCGTGCGGGCCGCGTCGCTGCGTTCGTCCAACAACTGCTGCGAGACCAGCGCGGCCGCGTCGAGGCGCTTCTGCAGCTCGCGGTTCCGCGCATCCACCGCCCGCAGCAACTCGTCGCGGCGGCCAATCTCCTCCACCACCCGCTGCTTCTCCGCAATCAACTCCTTCACGGAGGCCTCAAGCGCCGCATCCGTCAGCGACGACGGCGTCGGGCGGCTCACGCTCTGCTTCCACTCCCCAGCCACTCCAATCGCAACATCGCGGATATCACGGGCACTCGTTGTCGCATTATTCACTTGGGCTCCAAGTTTTTGAATGAGTGTCATGTGCTCTGTAGGAATTCCACTACCCTCCCCACCAAACATGGGATTAAGAAACTTATCGGTACCAGATACTGCCGACTCACGACCCTCACTGTGGAGTACAACAATCTTTGTACCATTGGAATCCATTTTATGAGAAGCACTTGTTAAGGCTTCTTGAGAAGCTAAAATAAGTGCATTATTGTTTATCTTGTTGTTATCATCTTCTGCGAAAACTGTTGGCACCCTCGAACTATCTGTTATTGGGGCATCAACATGGATAATACGAACTACTTGCACAACAAAAGCCACACAATCATTACCGTATAAATGTTTTCCAGATCGTGGGAGTGTGGCTGGCACAACGACGGTACGCCTAGAATCTTCCATCATACCTAGTACACTAGACTCAAACCCTTTCGACTCTGTATGAAGTGACATGAAGGACTGTACTGGTTGAAAACTATATGGTCTATCACCATTTGTTTCTAATAATTCACCAAGTTGTAGTAACGAATCATTCTTTCGAACAGCAAAGGCAGAATATCGCACCTTCACACGATGTTCTAATCCTAATCGTAATTCTCCAGTTGATGGTGCAAAATCGCTAATCACAGTAGTATTGGCAGGCTGCCCTGAAAGAGCATAGCATGCGATACCTAATGCCGCTAAAAATGAGTCTATATGAGAATCTTTAAGAAACATAAAACTCCAACGTTTTCCCATGTTATCGCGAAAACTTGCATACATGCTAACCTGCAACTCAAATTGAATACTCTGTTCATTATTGGATGAAAGAGATCCAACACAAAGTGTTTCACGACGTTCATTATAACAGACCAAACTGTACTTTGGCCGATCAGATGGAAGTCCTACAATGGCACAAGCACAGTTTCCTCGCTCCACTGTTTTACCATCCACAACTTCAAACAAAGCCACTGGTGTAACGATAAGAACTCTCTGCTGCATTTGTAATTAGAGCGAGAGAGAGAGAGAGAGAGAGGAAAAAAAAAATATATATAGTGGCTGTACTTCTCTATGGTAAGGTGTACCAAAGTAATATATATATGTATTAATACCTGTAATGAAGGAAACAACGTTTGATAAGGTTCTTTTTGTTTTCTTCGGTTTCCCGCCAACAGAATCAAATATATTGATTTGACTCTTTCTTATTATTCGATGCTGACAGTATATTTCACTTCTTGTGCCAAAGACGATAAAAAAAAAAGTCAAAAAAGAAGAAGAAGAAAAAAAAGACATAAACCCGATATTTCTCAAAAAAAAAAAAAAAAAAAAAAAAAAAACGGAAGAAAATACATAACGCCAAAAGAAAAAAAAAATCAAATAAAAGTAAAAATCTCAAAGAAAAAAAAGTAGAAAAGAGCAAAGGTACGTCTTTTTGAGTAGAGGGGGGCGGAGGTTATACGTAAAGAAGAGACTGGGTTCAGAAAGGGAGAATCACATTATCCCCGAGGTGAAAGATTTCTTAAATGCTGGGCAACAGATGAATTATTTTGGTGTGCAGCAAAACATACAGCAATAAAGGCCACAATCGCCAATATATTAGAGAAGAGTAGCCACAACCACAATGATACACTTCCATTATTTGGTCTTTGAAATTCTGAAAGCATTGCTAGGCGAGACTTCATCATATCCATTTCCCTCATTAATTCAATCAACCTATCACGGTATTCAGAAGTAACCTTTACTGTATCACGAAGATGAGTACCAATAAGTCCTAGTGATTCCTCTGTATATGATAATTTTTCTCTTAATTCCTTTTGTTGTACTTGGGATTCATCTAGTTCCTGCTGTAAAGCTTTAAGTTGTTTGCTCATCTGTGCAAGAATCTGCAATGCCGCCCCTCCATAGTACGACTTGGAAGAAGGTATCGACTTGCTAGTGGCTACTGTTTTGGAAGGGCACATACACATAGAACGAAGTTCATATATACGGCGTTCTTCTGGTAAACATTTTGTAGAGTTAGTATCTGTAAACTCATCGTAATTACAGTACAATAAAGTACTCAAATTAATACTCTTGTAAACGTTACTACCGTTACTTTTCCTGTTTTTACCATTATCACTATTACTATAACCACTAACAGTGTTATCACCAATACTTCCACTATTACCCCATTTTCTTCCTTCTACAACTTCATCTACTTGATGAATTAAATTTGTTAAATTCGCTCTTCCTCTTGTTTTTCCTCCTTTACCTCTATGCTCTTCCTGTTCTTTTGATGTATCAGTGTTTAAATCTGTATTAACATGAGTAGATGGAACCGGCATTACAACTACCGGAGGTGCTGGTAACATCATCTCTGCGGAGTGATAAGACGCATCCGTCTCATCTACGGCGTAGTCCTCTGTTAGTGTCTCCAACACATCTACACCAAACACTTTAAATGATGTCAGTGTACACCACGAGTCATCACTGTTTGAAGTTGCCCACAAAAGACGAACAAATCGCACAGGTGGCTGTGGGGAGACTTCAAACTGCTGCGCCCCTCGCCACGGACCCGTTTCAAATCTCCCAAGCACACGCCACTCATTTGTAGGGTACTTTCTACTTCCTAGTAACGTGAAATTCTTCACACTGGCACTAAAATGTTCAAGGTAAACTAATGTTACAATGCGAACCTCAATCTCACGAATTAATTGAACAGTGAAAAGTTTTCGTCGTGCTTTACAGGAACATATCATATATTTCTCTGAATCATCATTTAATACGGATGATGCACCTTTACATGCATGACTAAAATCTGTTAGAGTGGCACCCAGATAAGCAGATGCATAATTTGTCATAAATCCTGAGCTTTTACCATGCGGTTTTTCATTCTGCACTTTACGGCCTCTAGAGTTTATAAACGGCATACTGCACATTATACCCACCACAATAAGTGCCGTCAAGGTTAGCAAACGATCTTTTTTCATCACTTGAGTAAGCCCAAGTATATATATATATATGTACCTTACCGAGATAATAATAATAATAATAATGGGAAAAAGGGGGCAGCGTTACAGAGGAACTACACGTTTGAGTATCAAGTCATAAATGCGAATGAGTGAAAGAAATACGAAAAAAGGGAAAGGAAAATGAGGACACCAAAAAAAAAAAAAAAAGGAATACCTAAATGTCATCTTGGAAGAAAAAAAAAAAGCAAGACTGAGAAATACGAGATCCAACACATATAAAACGTAAAAAGAAAAAAAAAACGGAAAATCCTAGGCTACATGGGTACAGTAGCAGAGTCAACACCCTTCTCTTTATCTTCGGCTGATGTGGCTGCTGTAGTAGAATCGTTAGCGGTGGGATTAGGAGTATCTACTGTTGCAGAAACAGTTTCTTTTTCCTCTTTTTTATCTGTGTGTGATGAAATTTCAGGTTCTTTTCCTTGTTTCTCCTTTCCCTGTGTTTGCTGCTGTGATGGTGATTCCACATCACCAAAAAGTTTATCGAACTCTTCATCCATTTCCGTAAGAATATCTCTCGTTAATTGAGGAACTCCAGAAGGTGAATCAACTCCCGTGGCAGGAGCAGTTGTAATAGTGGGTGATGTTTTATTAATAACGGTCCCTTTTACAACTGGTTTATCATCCTTTTGCGTAGTAGTGATACCAGTATAGACTGGTGCACTTATGAGGCCAAAGTCATCTTCCTCGTCATCATCAATGCCCAAAGAAAAAGGTTGTTGTCTAGAGGTCATTTCCACACTTCGGGGGAATTGTTTATTTCGAGTTCCCGTACTAGTAGTTAATCCCATTCCTTCCTCCTTTTCTTCTTTCATAGCAGTGGAAGTAGCTGTTGTTGTTGTATTGGTATTAGTCCTAGCGGCATTCCCTGCTGAAGCTGCACTGCCTGCCGACAGTCGTTCACTAACTCGCTGCATAACATTCAATCCCCAAGATTTTGCGGCCATTACACCGTCCTTTGCTTTATTTTTTATCTCCGCCGCCTTTCGACGGGCCTCCTCTCTGTCAATCTGCGAGACCAGCGCCTCCAGACCATTCCGCAGCGCCTCTACAGGGCGGTCAAGATGTTCCCAGACGACATCTTCGGTGGTTGTGCGGGCAATCGTGATCGTCTTTGCCTTAATGAGAGGGACAATGGCACGAAATCCACCAATGCTGATGTACGGAAATCCACACTGCGCAAGATGAAGAGATAAAACTTTCAATAAATTCAGTTCTTCCGTAATGGGACGTCCAGTACCGAAAATACATAAATGAGCTCCCCGTACATCTTTCAGCATTGCTGCCACCTTATCAAATTTTTCACTATCAAAGCCAACAGTTTCACCTACAAATATGGAACCTGGTAGTCTGGCGAAATCATAACTCTCGCGGGCACGGCAGTCCACCACAATATAACCTATAGCAGGAGAATCATCCTCAACTGTCTCTTTGACTGCAAAAGACTCCGCAAAATCAGGGCGTTCAAGCGGTAAAGCAGTAAAAGAAGCATAGTACTGAGCTAAAGCTTCTGGTTCTTTATTTATTCTGCAATCTCCAGGAAACAACATAGAATCAATTATGCGTTGAGTGGCACGTGGAGTATTTCGGAATGCAATATCCGCATTTTGTGCAAGTGACTTTCCAGATCTCAAGGAAACAAAAGAAACCGGTCGTCCATCGTGTAAACCAGGGTCTACAGTTTCCTCTTTGCTCGCAGGCAAAACAAAGGTAAGTGAAGTTAATGCTTGTGTAATAGTTTCCTCTGTTTTTAATGCTAGGAAGTGTTGACGGTGTGCAACCAGGTAAGCAACGGCAAAGTACACAGTAAGTGTTGGATCACCCACAATAAGTATCCAGTCCCACATACAAATAGCCTCCTTATAGTTATTATTAACAACAAAGAGTGAACGTACCCAATTAAGCATAAATTTACCAATATTGACCAAATGTCGATCAAAATGAAGTGAAAGATGGGGATCATGATATTGCAACAAGAGACGAAAAATAGAAATGAGAGAAGCATCATAAACATGCGAAGTATTAGGTACTACAAAGTCTTTTTGTAATGCATTTAGAAGTTTGTAGAGAAACTGCAGATTCTCTTTAGATGTTGGCAATTCCGCATCGGCAATTACTCTTGCTAGCGTGGTGGCAATAGCCGTGAACTCCTCACTAAAGCTACAACCTGTCTCACTGGTAAAGCGGTTAATGAATTCCTTCAACTCAGCATCATTGGGGGCTCCGGGAATCCCATGGAAAGACTCACGCAGGCGATGGAGAAGTTTATTTTGTTCTCCTTCTTCTTCTTCTTCTCCAGTGGAAGTGTTCGTTGGCTTTTCTTCTTTTTCTTCAGTAGAAGTATTCTTTTCCTCTTTCTCTTTTCCTCCTTCTTCTTCCTCATTAGGTTGGGGATTGTCAAGAAGAAGACCGGTGTAAAGTCGCAGCCGCCGGCCGCCGGTGAGTCGCGCCGACACGAACGGCACCCGCACACACGCCTCCTGTAGTGCTGTGATGTCGGCTTTGTTTTGATTATTGTTGTCGAGCAGCGCGAGCAGCCGCGCCTCCGCTTCGCTCATCGCCGTAGACTCACCTTTGCTTAACTGTATTTAGTTGTGTATGTAGTTCTCTCTATTGGTTAGTATGTATGTATGTACGTGCGAAATAGATGAGATGGGTGGGTGGGAATAAACATAAAGAAAAGGAAAAAAAGAAAAAGAACAGAATGTCTTGCATTGTGTCAGACGTACATATATATATATATATATATATTTAAGACTTGTGTCATCGCCAGTCGTGTTAAGCGGGTGAGAGAAAGAAAGAATCAAAGAGAGTGAGTGAAAAAGATATATATATATATATATATATATATATATAAACTAATGTTAAGTCAATTAACAAAGAAAGAAAAAACAATTGTGAAAGGTTTATATCAGACAATCATCTCCAACACGTCATCATTGCAATTTTCCTCCAATATCGGATTTGGAATACTACGATCTTGCGAGATAAAAGCAATGGCCGCTGCTTCATTTTCAATTGTACTCTTTGGGCACTCACACCGTGTTATCAGGCGAATACCACGCTCTGCAAGAACAACAGATGTCCAGAAGGTCTTGTGGCCTAACTCATATGATATGAGCATCAATCTCAACATAAAGTTATTAAAGTAGTTCGCTTCACCCGTCGCCAAACAGTGCTGACGGAGAAGTTCAACACAATTCACGCACTTCGTGTATTGGGCATCTTTTACACTATGCCGCAGTAATTTAAATATCACCTCAGCAAGTTCATCCACCGCACGCTGCACCACAATAACATCATGAGATTGCAGCATTTGTTGAAAAGTGCCAATCGGATCCACTGTAGTTACATGCAGATGGATAGAATCAACAGTGGATTTAATAGTATCTTTAAAGGAGGAAGTATCAGCAGCCACTGTTGCCACAGAGGAACTAACACTACCACCCATCCGCTTTACTGCAGCATCTGTTGTGTAAGAAGAAGAAGAAGAAGTACCAACAACCACAGCAGCAGCAACTGTGGATGGAGTTTGTGTTGATGTATCCTCCACAACATCAGAGGCATTAGTATGTGAATGAAACTCATCTTTTCTTTTTAAAGCAAATGCTTTTCGAACAGCTTCAAAACTATGGATACTCTTACTGTTATTATTATTATTATTATTTTCATTGGCCTCAAAAACAAAGGTATTACTACATGTTTTTAATTTAGATTGGACACTTGAAAGAAGCTCCTCTAGTCTATTCCCTGATGAACCAAATACTGTAGAGGTGGCCCGCAGATGATCCAATAGTGATACCTCTTCTTCTTCTTCTTTTTCTTTTTCTTCTTCTATTGCTGTTTCTTTCCCTTCACTTCTACCCTTATCTACACAAGCACGTAACTTTATACGCAGCATATCATTAAACTGCTGCAGTACGGGGTTGAATGTCTCTCGAGGACGAAATACAGATTTATCAACAGTCATGTCCTCCACTAAAGAGGCGATAAGTTTCTCCTCCTCATCTGTACAGCAGACATCCTCAAAGTTTGAAAAGGTGAAGGATCGTACTTCTTCAGCATACGGCAGTGGAGAAAAAAACAAAACATCTCGTTTTTCACTCTGTGAGGCTACGCAAAGTCCAAGAACGGGATTGGCATCACGTGTACGCACAAAACGCACAATCATCGCCTGATCTAATGCCACCATTGCCTGCACAATACTACGAAATCCTTTAGCCCCAATCTTATCATCCGCAAGGGGTGTGATGACGTTAACTCCACCCATCAGCACATATGGTGGAACTTGCTTTAAAGGAACAAAACCAAGAGCCTCTAGTGATCGTGTGCCGTTAAGTTTTAATGATTCCTCCTTTGTTGTTGTTGTTGTTTCTGTTGATGATGATGTTGTTATTCCACCACACGCAATAAGAGTTCGTCCATAACGAAATCCCTTAATGACATCTTTCTGTTGAAGTAGTGGCGGCGATGGTGTGGTATTATCTTCACTTAAACCCAAATAAAGTGTTCTTACACCCACTTCCAATCCCTCTGCTGTTGTGCGTTTCAGTGCTGGCAGTCGCTCTTCACGTGTTTTTGTGTAGAACTGCGTGGCTAAACGCACATCCCCAACAGTGAGAGTAACTTTCAATAGGGATCGCTGAGCAATTTTACGTCTATTGGGTTTCATCACACTCTGCAGCGCCTCTTCTAAGCAGACTACTACACTGTCATTCCCAATAGCATCACACATAATGTGTAGAACCTTTTCATTCTGCTGTTTAACAGGGAGATGCTCTAAACTACAGATATTACTATCCTCCGTATCGTTATCTTTTTCTTCATAATCATCTGTATTGTTGTTGTTGTTGTGTATATCACTAAAATTAATACCTACAACCACCAAGGATATATCAAGCTGTTTAAAAGACTCTAAAATGTTATTAATATCAGACTTTTCCTTCACATCTATGTGAGCGTCTGTAAATAGATAAATAATCCGTTCATAGCGCTTTTTTTCTGTCCTTTCACGCATAACTTGCAAACATATTCTTAACGTTTCTAAGAAATCCACCTCATGTTTTTCCTTTTCTTTTTCTTCCTCTTCTTCTAGTTGTCGTTGTTGTTGTTCTTCTTCAATATGTTTCAACACTTCTAAAAAGTCCACTGTAGGCGCAGCAAGAGCACATGGAACAGAAATGTAATGATTGCAACAGGTATCATTCTTGTTACTATTACTATCCATATTACTATCATTATCATTGTTGTTGTTGTTGTTTCTATGAACGGTGTTGATGCTGTTTGTACCGGTTAAAACAAGTCCCATCTCATCATGCGGTGCGAGAAGCATTGCGGTCTCTACTGCGCGGCGGCATATATCAATGACGACTGCTAATGAGGACGACGGGCAGTTCAAATCAACTGCAAAGACAGACGCTAACTTTAATGAGGCCATAAACAAATGTTTTTAATAAATTATCTTCTCACCTTTTTTCTTTTTTGTTGTTCTTTTCTTTTTCTCTCTTGGTCTCATACCCAGAGATAAACTTAAATAAGGGAAAAAGAAAAAAAAAAAAATAGATCAAAGTGAATAAAGATGTATTCATAAATGTTAAACCACTTATACAAGCCATCAACAAATCATATAGTGGTTGTCAGTAACGTATGTATACCGGAAATCTCGAATAGATAGAGTAAATAAAATAAAAAAAATGGTTACATACACCACCACAAAGGCGAAGAACACTGCGAATGCAACCCCATAAAAGACGTTGAAGGAAGAATTGATAATAACAGTAAAAAGAAAAAAGAATGAACACAACTAATAATAATAGTAATAATAATAATAACAACAACAGCAATGATAATAATAACAATAAGAAAGAAGAAAGACGTTAGGGACAATATGGTAGCAGTAATGTAGCTCCTTGACCCTAGTTATCACGCTTTCTCCTTTTCCTGCGAAAGTTTCTTAGTAAGAGCTGTTTTCTCTGCATGTAATAAACGAATAGCCTTTTCCGCTCGTGATTGATAAACAATGAGGTCTATACGCTCTTGATTAAGAGAACGTATACGTTGATATGCCTTTTCTAACTGTTCTTGTAAATACACCTCTTCATGGCCTGTGGTCTGAGACATACCATTAGGATCTGCATACTGTGGGGTTACGGGTGTAGAGGTGGAACTCTCCGCGGCGGCATCTGCGGGCTGAAATCCAATGTAATCCGTGCCCTTCACCTTTGCGAGTTCCGTGCCGAGTTCATCCATCCGCTGCACCCAGCGATCGGACTCCATCTGATATCTTATCATCGTCGCCCGGAGCTTCTCGGCCAATCGAAATACCGTACGCTTCTCCTCAGCAAGTAGAATGGCTAACTTGAACCGTTCATCATTAATAGTGCGTATCTTCTCATCCCGCTCGGTAAGCGTATTGCGTAGTTGTTTGCTCATTGTATGCCAGGCCGTGTTGGTGGTGTCCGGATTTCCATCGCCCCCACCACTCAGTGAGGCACTTTCCTGCCGTAAAAGATCATTCTCCGCGGTGAGAATCTTCACACGATCCTCCAATGCACGAATCCGCTCTTCATACACCTCCCGCTCCTCTGAAAGTGCATTCTCGAGAGTTCCATCATTCTTGGAATCCAACTCTGCCAGTAATTGAAGATAAAGGGCTTTGTAATCCAACACCTCATGGCGTTTAGCCTCCTGTTTAATCTGAATTGCCCGCTGACCAAAAAGAATGGCTCCCATCGTCTCTTCTGTGGAGTCATCCGCCGGACTGCAGTTCACCACAATGGAGGTGTTGCCATTACCAAGCAAAGAGTACTGCAGAATACGTGTGAGTTTCGATTCCCGGAATGGGGCGTGTTGTGAATTCTTCTCCGTGAGTGCGGCGACGACTTTACCAAGCACCAGCAAACTGCCGTTGATGTGTGTGGCCTCATCCAGTGTCTTTCCCTCGGCCTGTGTCTTGCTCACCCGCTCACTTCCCGCCAAATCACAAATCACCAGACGTCCCTCCAACGCGATGGTTGGCGGAGCTGTGTTTGTCGTCACATCATCCGAGACGGTGACGGTCTTTACTTTCGTGGCTCGTGTGATGTTGAAACTGAAGATTGTGTGGGAGCGGGAACTGGTGTTGTTCATCATTGTACTCGTCATCTCCTTGCGGCTCATGCCAATGCGGAAGAGCTCCATCGTCTCCTCATAGGTCTGCACTTGTTTTTCAATGCCGAGTCCGGAGGTCTCGGCGACCAGCACGACATCTCCACGCCCCTCCGGCCCGAGTTGAATGCGCACGCGGCCCTTCTGTGCGTCTAACAGATCGGTGAGGATCTCATTATACAACTGCACGTAACTCACACTGCATGTGTACTCGTGCTCGGTGTCCTCGTGAATACGTCTCCACACTTCCTGCAGCCCCTGCTGGAGTACACCGGGGTTTTCGGGATCTTCGTTGCTCATCGTGTACGTCTTACCCGATCCGGTCTGTCCATACACGAAGAGAACACCGTGTTGGCCATCAAAGGCCGCGTCTACAGCTCCACGGGCGAATTCATCATAAACAGTTTTCTGAGATGTTTTGGGTTGAAATACTTTATTGAATACAAATGTCTTTTCTATTGTCTTTTGTCCAGACTTTCGCGCAACAGTGATTTTACGGGGATCTTCGGCATCGTATGAAATGTTATTAAATGTGCATTTCGCCTCACGAGGAACAGGTGGACGCACTCGAAGAAACACAGAAATGTTCTTTGGTGCTGTCTTTCCTGTTATGGATTTTCTCATGATGAAATATGTTTACACACTATCTTTTCTTATTTTTTCTTTTCTTTTTATTCTTTTTTTTGGTTTCTGTTGATATTCCTCTGTACTTCTCTTTTCCTGTTGGTTTTTTTTTGTTTTGTTTCTTCCTAAATGTTGATACCCCGCAAGTATGGGCTCTTACGTCGATCACGTTGTATAGATAAAAATATATCTAAATATATGTATGGATATATGTATACAAGTATATATATACGTCTATATATATATATATATACTCTTCTTCTCTATTTACACTAATGCAAATAGACTCGCTTATCTTCTTTGCTTTATTATCTTTTCTTCTAAAACTTATATCAGAAATAGGGAAAACAACAACAAAAAAAAAGAAAACAGATAAAGAAAAAAGATCTCCCAGGGAATAACAGAAAAAGTAATATCTCCATATTAAAGTGGAGATAAACAGCAAAGATGTCAACAAGCAAAACAAGAAAGAAAAAAAAAAGAATTGCAAATGAAAAAAACATCTCTCTTTGCGACATCCCCCACTAAACAGATATCTCTGTAGAGAATATTGAGTAAAGGGGAAATGCAATACACCACTTCTACGAAGTAAGCCAGAGCGCAGATGTTTTCCTGTTACTACTGTAATGTTGATGCCTCTGCGAGTCCTTTCACCACTCTTTTTTTTTTTTCTTTTCTTTTTTTTTCTTCTTGTACAATGATTCTACCAGCGTACTCGTTGTCCCTACATATACGAAGAGCATTGTACACATGGCAGTCCAAAACACAATAATAATAATAATAATAATAATAATAATAATAATAATAATAATAATAATAATAATA